TTTCGTCAGTCAGCGATAAGGCACCGCCCATAGTTCTCCCCGCCGCCGACGTACCTTTCTGTTTATGTTGAGTGCGAATGATTGAACGGAAAAATACAACCTAAGCATCATTCTGTACCCCATTTGATTACAGAATATACTATGCAATAATTAAATATACTAAATTGTATGCTTAATCAATGTTGTAAGTTATTTATACATATATATATATATATATAAAATCACTTGTTCAGGTCACTTGACACTACGATTATTTTTTTTCTAGTTCTCGCCGACGCACTGTGGCGGTAGTGTTCGAAGTCACCACGCTCATGCGCACATTTCGGCTTTACATATATGTCGTTCGCGAACGAATGGGTCTTATTGATCGGGGTTACACTTGTGAACAAACTGACCCAGATCGTAAAATTATGAAAGTCATTTTCATAAAAGCGTTTCTTGTTCAATGTGGATTTATTCAAACATGAATAAATACCCTCAATTTGAATGAAAATTTTTTATTATAAAATAACTCCAAGTCAAAATCATTATGTATTTGTTAAAAACATTCCAAGTCCATACAATTAGTTTGTAAAGCCAAATGGCGTGAAGATACATTACTATAGTCTCATTAGGGTGCTGATTTAATGCCCTAAAAAATACCTTAAAATGCCTTAAAAAAAATGCAATATCATCTAAAAAATTTAATCAATGACGTAAAAACATGTATTAAAAATGTGAAAAATTTAATTAATGGCGTAAAAAATTTATAGAAAATATAAAAAATGACAACCAAAAATGCATTAAAATGTTTTATTTTATTTGATCAATGCTTTCCACACACATAGTTCGTATAATTGTTATCGTCATCGACAATTAAAATTAAATGAAATAACAATAACATAAGACGATAAAATGTAGTTGCCAATAATTTGATTAAAGGAAAATATTGAATACTTGAAATTTTTTTAATTATTTCCAAAAATTTAAAAATTATGAAAATAATGTCCTTAAAATAGTTAAAATACCAAAAATGTATTAAAGAAGTAAATATAACAACAAGTGCAAAAAAAATTGCAAAATAAAAATTTAATTATATGAATCTACACTTGAAACATATTTTTGCCAAACTGAGCATAGCGTATAGAATTAGAAAAAATTCATTCTGCATTGAAATACTCGCCCTAGTCATATTTGATCAATACACGGTTTACGCTACACGCAGGGTTGCCAACCTACCCGATTTTTAGTTTTTTTTCCTACGTCCCGATCAAAGTTCATTCAGACACATGTTTCCCAGTACATAAGGAAATAACCAATATATATTTTTGTACGATAGTACAAACGATAAAACTCTAAAAAAAATTCATATGTTATCGAGCAGAGCAATAATCAATTTGTACTATCTATATTTTAGATAGTATGGTATTTTAACATTTATTAGTAAATATCTCGGCTGTAGATATAATATAATATTTACATATAAGTATATACATATAGAGAATAAATATATCTGTGTTATGTATTTATATCATATATTATAATATGTTATACCAGAAATGATTTTATTTATAATATATTAAAATTGAAAAAATGTTCTTATATTCGAAAAACGTCCCGATTTTCTTAACTGGATAGTTGGCAACTTTGGCTACACGACACGGTAGGGTGGCAAACGTTTGAATGTATTGATCGCATCGTGTAGCAACGCTTAAAAACACATCTGATTATGGGTGTGTTCGGGACCTCTTCATACACCCCAATCTCGTGTGAACACAGTTATCCGTCTATGTCAGTGGTTCTTAAACTTGTTTGTGCACCGAAGCATTTAGTTCTCGAAAAAAATGTACGGAGCTCTGAAAATCAGGAATGTATTACTTGAGACAGCAATAATTTTCAATTTGATGTTAAAAAAAACACACATCATTAAATTTAATAATGTGGTCATTTTGTCTACTATTGATAAATTTACTTTATTTAAATTTGTGAATTATTAGCCAAGAAATGGAGTAGAAATAATCAAATTTTATCAGTAAATCTTAATTGTAAATTAAATGGGCATTCGGCGAAGAATACTTACAATTTATTGCGCAATTTGAGTTATCGTACTAGAGTTTATCTTCAATAATTAAAAAATATAATAATATTAAAATTTAATTAATTCAGATGTGCCTACGAAGCCCCTAGATTTTTTTCACGGAGCCCTAAGGATCAGGGTTTGAGAACAACTAATAAATGTCAAACTCCGTATGTAGTCTGTGAAAAATGAGGAAATATTTTTAAAATTGCATTTTTTAATTTAAAAGATACCTAATTTATTGTATATCTCACATAATTGTGAGTAATATCTATATGGCAATTTGATTTTATTAAAAATGTTCCCACAGTATCTCTATCTGTGCTAAGTTTGGTATTTTTGATCATACTTTTACTTTCAAAAAAATGTGTTAATAGCTATTATTAAATATATTATTTTGACGTAATTTATTTAAACTCCAAAGTATTAAGTACAGAAGTAAAAAAAAATATACATAATAATTTGAAAAACAATACGTGCTCTGCCACTGTACCGGAAACCAATATATAATTTATTTTCACCATAACTAATTACTTACCAGTGTCGTAGCCAGGGGGATTTTGAGTGTTGTAATCCACCCACCCCACCCATTAGTTTTTATTTAATATTAATTTTAATTATTCAATTTCCTGTAAGCACGGCGTTGTTGATAGTTGACCATGGTAAACAGCCTAGGGTGACCAATTACAGAACAATAAATTACTCATTTTGTGTTTTTTCTCCGTGGCTGATAATGATGCATATACATACGGTGCGTTCTTGTTTGAAAAATGGTACATAACAATATAATAATGTGTACATAACATCACATTGATTATTAGACTATCGATATTCTATGTTATCAATTTATCATGTACGAAAATAGTTTTTCTCTCATCATAAGTTTGTACTTTTTTAAATACCCCAAAAAAAATTATATTTAATCCGAATCAATAGGACGTATATGTTCTTCATTAACCCATAACCCTTTGAAACTGTTATATCTAAAAAGATAGGTAGACAAACATGTCTCAATAATTATTTTCCTCGAGTTATTTGATGCAATAATTGATAGTTTATCAGAAGTTTGTACTTGGCATGATGAGGATGCTTCATCAGGAGCATACCAATTGCTGTGTGTTATAAGAAAACCAGAATTTATACTAGTAACTTGTATACTGGGACACGTGTTGAGTTTGAGTTTACCATTAAATAAGTTTCTTCAGACAAAGAATATAGATCTGGTTGAAGCTATCCAAACCGCTGATGACGTAGTAAATATAATTAAACAACTAAGATTAAATGATAAAAATGAATTTAAAATTATATTTAATAATGTAAAATCTAAATGTAATGCCTTAAATATTGAAATATCTATTACTCGTACAACTAATAAGCAAAAAAATTGATGCAATATCCAGGTTGATTTGCTTGAGGATTATTACAAAATATCTTTATTCATTTCATTCATAGATCATTTTTTAAATCAATCAAATGACCGATTTTTATCTCATAGATCTATAATTGAAAATGTTAACGTTATTTTACCATCATCCAATAGTATACAATATGAAGAAAAAATTAAGCAGCTAGTTGAAATGTATTAAAGCGATTTAGATTGCAGTGTGTTAGCGGCTGTGAGTGAAATTAAAATTTAGCAACAAAAATGTACAGGAACTAAAGATTTACCAAAAAATACTATCGACGCTCTTCAAAAATGTAACATATCAATTTTCCCTCCTACTTTCAAACTTTTACAGATTTTAGCAACTCTCCTAGTTACAACTTCTAACAGTGAACAATCTTTTTCAACAATAAAAAGATTGAAAACATATTTACGAAACACCACATATGAAAATAAGTTGAATGGTTTGGCAATGATGAATATACACAGTGATTTGATGATAAACCCTGATGATGCTCTAAATAAATTAACGACCAAAACAAGTAAACTATGGTTAGTGTAAATTTTAATGTAATTAAAATATTGTTTGACTTTAAATGCTTTAAATAAAGTACAAGAAAATTAAAAATAATATTTTTTATGTATCCCTACCTATTGTATAGACCTAAACCGTAAACCCCCCCTTTGAAAAATCCTGGCTACGCCACTGTTACTTTAATAATTAATATTATAGACTATGGTTTATAATATGATATATTAATAGTTGTTATGTTGTTATAGGAGGTCGGTGACGATAACTAGACGCTAGAGGCTAGGCAGAAGTAATAATTACTTATTGTACAATTATTGAAAATACAATTATTGTGGTATTAAATATTATGAATTATATTTTTAAATCAATTATACTTAGATTTATTGTTTATTGTTAATTTTAAAATTAAATATTAATATTAATTAATTTTAATAATCATTTTGGGAATATTACTTTCAGAACATATAATACTTGATGATTGGATGAATCAAATAAAAGGGAGAAGGATTTTCCAAACAACACTATACACAAGACATTCCCTTGACGTTTTCGACCAATGAATTAAGTTGGCGAATTCATATTAAAATTATTTGGTATACGTTACGCATTGTATAATCAGCAAGAAACAGAATGTGATAATAAGAACAGTTTAATTTAAACGATTTGCCTATTATTATTGGATAACATGGGTCGGAGGATGGCTCCTGCTTGCTTTTGCGTGACGTTCTTTTTTGTCCGCTCCGCCGTTCACCAGCCACGTGTTCTCTATGTATACCCAACTCAACGTTCCACCCGACCAGTTTACCTACGCCTTTTGCTTCGTATTATACGTAACTGTATTGTACATCGATTATTTGTTATCTTATTGTGCATCACTATCACTATTCGTTTCACGCAACTATGAACATGGTAATAGTGGTATGTAATAATAATGTTAACAATAACATAATCAACGTCTACACGTAGCTGATAACGATATCACTATATCGGTTATCAATGGCGATTTATGACCTGAATAACAGGTAAAATCCGTCTACGCAGTACGAAATGATTGCCTTGTTGCTTTAATGGAAATTACTTTCTTGCAGTTGCATTTTGTCTTCCGTCGCGTTCGTATGATGTACTTGACGTTTGTCCGCTATGTAATTAGATGCCGCCCTCCGTAGTGAAGCAGCTACTGCGAATTAAGACGCGAGACATACCTGCGTCATGGGATCAAAGGATCATGTCCTTTTTTAGTGTCAAAATATTCTTTCCGTCGCATCGTCGTCTGATTTACATGTAACTACTGCCCTTTGATATCGTGTTCAAATTTATTTCATCCATAATTACTTTGTTTGGTTAAAATATTAATCTCATAGATATGTTTCTTTTCTCTAGATATTTCTTTCGATCATGAGTATTGCTTAGAGGCACTTTTGTCTAGAGGATTTCCCAGATAAGATAATAGTTTATTGCACGAGGCTTACAGTTTATAGGCAGTGCATATAGTCTTACATCTACTACAATTTACTCTATGAGTGAAATTTGATTGTGAACTACTTCATTGTTATACTGACTTTTACATTTGAAATTATTGGTTACAATTTTACTGACATCATTATAACCATTAAATAGCTTTTATTATTCACATTTGTTTTTAATTGGTTTGATTTACACTATCAACATGTTCTCTTTGGTGTATCAAAAACTGGTAGAAAAGTTATTAAATGATACACAGAAACAAAACACAAAAAAAAACAATGCACTGGAACATAAATCAATTAAACAGAATAATACTTTTAGAGTAGATAAACAAATATCTGTGACAAATTCCCAAAATATTGATTTATTAAATCAAATTAAATCTTTGCAATGCTTATTTACATGGGAAGTGAAATCGCAAAGAAATCAAGATATGATTATATATATTAAAAACAAATATGGTAATGTAAATTTAGATATTTCATTGCCAGAATTTACATTTACAAGGTAAATACTTTATAATATATTTATTTATATTAATTATAAGTAAATTAGTATTTAAATGTCTTCAAAAAAATTTATAAAATGTATGCAAATTATACAATTTCTTAAAAAATTAACTATAAGACATATAAAGTTAAATATTTTACTCTGAAATTCTTAACAGGGTTTAAAGTATTTTTAATTATTAATTAGTGGAAATGATCTATATAGATTAACATAAATATTTCATATTAAATTTAATATTTTTATTTTGATTATGTTCACTCTTTTTTCCTTACTAAATGAGAAGTTGATTTAAATATATTTTTGGTTTGAATATCTGAAGAGTTATTAAAAATATTAATTAAGTTTAATATTTATTGTAATAAATTAATTCATAAATTAATATTTTATTATACTCTCATCATTTTTTTTTCATAGATTTTTCAAATTAATATTTGTTTAATAAAAAAAAATATACTTTTTTTATAAATATTTTTTTAATTTATTAGGGACTTAATGATAATTGAATCAGAGCCATAACGAGCCATTGTTTATCCTAAGGAAAAACTGAAGCAATGTGCCTCCGAGGTTGTATGGTTGTCACACTCACAGCTTGTAATATGTATAACACGATTCGGAAAAATCTAAAAAATTGTGGTTAAGTTTCTAGCAAAACAAGAAATAACATTTCTTAAAATGAGTTAGTTAATTATTTAATATTTTTGCGCCTCCCAGTTTCAGGCGCCCAAGGCAAGTGCTTCACTTACCTCACTTATGGCTCTGAATTGAATGGTCAGCGGGAATAATGTGCTATGTTAAATTATAATTGACCCGTCATATATATTGTCATGTTTTTTATTGTGTTTGTGTTACGCTAATATTATGGTTTTTTCGGTCCTATGTATTATTTAATGATCTTAGAATAGTTAAACAAAGATAGGAATGTTTCACTTAATCAGTGGGTTTCAACCTTTTTAACAATGCTGTACACTTCATCTCCAACAAAATGTTCGCGGCACACCAATCCATGTATTATGTGAACCCATTTTTTTTTATATATATTTACACTATTTACAGTCAACTCTATTAAAAGGTTATTTATATAAATTGTACATGAATACAATCGATCAATCAAGACGGCTGCGACGGGCATACTTATAATAATTAATATTAGTTCAGTCAGTTTTCATTGAGTTTCGATAATAAGCTGTTAAATACGTACTTATAAAACAATTTATAGATTTATCATGGCACACCGGTTGGAAACCACTGCTTTAAATATACCTATTCTATTAAACTTAAAATATTTATAGCAATTATTATTAAAATTTCTTGGACAAAAAAAATTAAATACAAATTATTTTTGATAGGATATATATATATATTATACAAATTAAACAAGTCACTGTTATATCACAAAATATGTTAAGATAATAAACATTTAAAAAATGATACTTCTTCATTTGATATTTCCGAGTTTTCTTTCGCGGTATTGTATGTTGAAAAGTAGGAGTAGTATATTCTTTACATATTATATATCACATATATACTTTCCACGGTATTTGCAATATCAAAATCAATATCATCGGAATCGTGTGATCATTCTTAGTCTCACTAAACCATATGGTTACTTTTTCATAATTATGTAGCTGTACTTTTACGCTCCGGCAAGGAGTATGCCAGACTCTCCTCCTTAACAACCAACCCCTTCCTACTGCCCAATGTGTACGCTATCTTGGAGTCAACATCGACCGTCGACTTACCTGGTCAGCTCACATTAAAAATAAAACTCGAATACTTAACGACCGTTTTCGCCAACTTCGACCGCTCCTAACTTCTAAAAATATTAAACTACCTACTAAATTATTGCTATATAAACTACTACTCAGACCCATCTGGTCCTACGGTTTGCAGCTATGGGGCTCAGCGAAAGTATCAAATACAAACCGTATACAAAGGTTTCAATCCAAAGTCCTTCGCGTCATCTCCAAAGCTCCCTTCTATGTTTCAAATAATACCCTTCGTTCTGACTTCAATTTACCCACCGTCACTGAACTAGCCAAGCTCCACTATAAACGATTCAATAAAAAGTTAACACATCATTCTAATCCCCTTATCGCCCAACTATCATCTGCAACTATTCCAGGAAATCCCCACAAAAGACTAAAAAGGCAATGGTGTCGTGACCTGCTTATATAATATATAATAAGTATCACTACTAAAAAAAAAAAAATCTCTGTTACTCATAAGGCATAACTATTATGTACTCATGGTAGTATCATTATTATTATAATTATTATAATTATTATTATTTTAGGATTAAAACCTTAAATTTATATTCATGCTGAAGTACCTCCGGTGGGAGGTCTCTTCCCTCGGTCTCTTCTGTCTGTTTTGTTATTATTTATCACTTAAGCTTATTGTTCATTAATTGTAACAGATGGCGTAATATAGAATTTTGTTAAAAAAAAAAAAAAAAAAACATTTAAACACAGTTAGTATCATGTAAGCAAGACGCCAGCAAAATCAGTACTGTGAAAATCAACAGTTCATAAGATCCACAAATATATGTTTCTATATTTTAATTGTCGTTAATTTAGTATAATATTATTTTGATGTGAGGTATAAAGAATTTCAAAACAATCTATTTTTATTTAAACGAGCAGTTCTTAATATGAGTTCATATTAGCAAAACACTAACACCGCTACCGTTGACGGGTTAAATAATAAAAACAAAAATGTACCTATTATAATTTCTTATAAATATTATTTTGAATGCACGTTCTGAACTGTTTAATAAAATAAAATTATATCATATTTATATTTATGAAATTTTTCAGTCATGTTTATAAAATATTTTCACATTATTTAGCAAAAAAAAAATTAAATCCGAAATAATGATACGTAGCACGTTATTCCTGCCGACCCTTCAATTATATTATTTTTTTTAGGTTTATTGGTAATTTAATTATTAGTCATGAATTATATCTTAATGGTGAATTGAATGCAAGTGACATGAAGATTTTAGAAATTGATAAATGGCTTGACCAGTTAGATAAAACTACAGATGAGTTTTATTTATCTATAAATATTGCCTTGAAACATATTAGAGCTGCTAACTTCATTCATATGTTATTTGACACAAACGAAATCACAGGATTTAATATGGTAAGTTATTGTATAGAAAAAAATTAATAAAAATAAATGGTCAAGTTAGAAAAAATTTAAAATAGAAATATAAAAATATGTATTTGAAAAAGCCTTGTTTCGTCTTTAATTAAAGTTTACCTTTAATTCATAATAATAAAAATCAAAAATATTCTATGCAATATATTTTCATATTTTATGATAATAATTTTTTTTATTTTTTGGTCTTTGTTAATAGTAATAACAATTCAAAATTTAAGCAAATTTATACTATTTAGTCTCAGTATTAATATAGTACACAAATATTTTGAATAGCTGTTGATTTCTTTATTCTAAGATAAAATTACTGAATTAGTACTACTTACTAAATTGCATATAAATGCATGACAATTTGTTTATTTCGATATTTAAAAATAAGTAATTATTTTCCGGTAATTATTTATTTATTGTTATTATATATTGAAATTATTATTTTTAGTTATTGGATGAAATTGTTCCATTTGAAATCATGGATGATAAATTAAAAGCTGTTGTGCATATCATACATGCTGCTATATTAATGGAGTATGGTATTAATCAAGAATGTTATAAATATGCTCAAATAGCATGTAACTTGGATCCTAATACTTCTCATTGGTGGCATATACATGCATGTGTATTGACAAAGAGACAGTTTTTATTTAGAAAAAAGCTGAGTCTTAATACTAAAATTATTGAGACTGTTAAAAGAGCAGTGATGACTTCAGACAAAATAAATACTTCTGTTGATTCATTTGTTTTAATTACTTTAAATGAAGTTGTGAAAAATGAATTTCAAATATCAGATTTTGAATCAATTAATTATTCTGAATACACTGTAAGATTATATTTTATTTTAAAGGAATGAGTTATAAATCCAAAATTAATTTTTCCAAAGATCATGGTATTTTTTTAACAGTAATCATTATTCATTGTGTTTAATTTAAAATATATTAAAAATAACTATGTAGAAGTTATAAAATTATGTATTACTTTGGTACATACTATATTTTTATTAACTTACATTTTAAACTCAATAACTCTACATAAAACCTATTTAAATTAAATAATTAAATTTGAATTTATTACTCTTACCTTTCTTTAACTTATACTTACGAGACACTGAAAACTTAATAAAATACAATTTTCAATTTTCTAGTATCTTAAATTTAATTATTTAAAAGAAACAACATGATTTTAATATCAAAGTTTATTTAAAAATTTTTAAATGTATTTTAAAAGTTATTTAACACATTCAATACTGATTATGACCCATAGTTGACATTCTACTTTAGGCAAGTTTAGCCAATGACGACCCATGTTCATTGTTGTTCATATGTTTCTATTTGTTATATTAAATGGTCATATGACGGTAAATGACTATGTGTCATCTTCAGCAACATGAGATGTGTTAAGCCCATTACTTTATAGAGATATCTACATTATAGTTTGTTCCTAATTTTTAATTTTAATTTTAATAGAATACAAATTATGCAGATTTAAGTTTAAAAACCATAATGGAGACTTTAGTGAAGAGACATAAAAATGGTGAAGATGTACTACCTGATTTAAATGATTTAATTTTAAAATTTAAACATGATAAATGGAAAATTATCGTAGACATTTGTTCATATACTGTTCTATTCAGAAACAACTTCAGATTTGGTATTGAACTCTTCTTAATGTTGATTAAGGAACCAAACTTACCCATTAAAAATTACATTAAAGTAAGTGTTTCCTGAATTTTTCTTATTAAAATGTAACTAATGTACATATTATTTTATTTATTTATTTATTTTTTTGATTTGTTATTAAAAATATTTTAAATATAATTATCAGTTTACATTGTACATTATTTGCTAAAGATAATTTGTATAAGAAAGACAATTGTAGTTGATTAGTGAAAATGAATTTATAGTTTTTGAGTTAATTTACTATACTAATAAGTTGGGCTCGGAAGTTGATTCATTTTGAATTTTTTTTTGAAACTTTAAACAATGCTCTTCTGACCACAAATGTATTTCATTATCATGTGAATCCAAATAATTAATATTTATTTTGCATTTTTTGGTGTTAATTACTTTTTAAGTCATCTTTTGACATTTTTATTCATTTTTACTGATTTCACACTAGTTCACTAGTTATCGTTTCTTGTAAACCATTATGCTGAAAACTTAAGACTTGTCCGATTTTATTTCACCAATTACATTCTTTGACTCATCATTTTATAGTGAATAATACCTATTATATCTAAATTTAATTTTTTTTTTGTAATATTTTCGAGATGAAGAAAATTAAAATATATGTCAGTACTCGGTTGTGCCTCCCAATCACTTCAGTGGACGTGGAAAGAAGTTTTTCCAAATATAAATATTTATAAACAGATAATCGTTGTTCATTTACTTTTGATATCATCAAATACACTCTAATTGTATGATGCAATTATTTGTAATATTTTTAGGTCATTTTTTAATGACATTTTTATGTCATATTTGCATCTTTTTTTATGTAATTTTGTAATGTTTTCAAGGTCATCAACTTCCGAGCCCTGCTAATAAGTAATAATAATCTAATAGAGTTAATTCAATAATTAAGTATTGATATTTATCTATTAATGGAATTGTACTATTTTCATAAACTATAAAATAATTTTCACTAGTTAACTGCTTATTATATTTTGATTTATTATTTTAAAAAATTAAATTGACTGAACTACATTTAGATTTAAGACATCATTAAAAGAAAACTATTAATTCTTACTTAATTTGTTTTTATTATGATTTCTATAACAGTATGTATTCTTGCAATTTATTAATATAAATAAGAAACTGTATATGATATATCTTAAAAAAAAAAAAAAAACGTGTAAAAAAAATTGATTGCATGTTCAACACTTTTGAATATAATTAAATAATTATTTGAACATTTACTGGCAATAATGATATAAAACTGTAGTGAGCAGAACACTGTATATTTTGTTGTTTATAGATTGCTTTAATATAATAATATCTAGTTTTATAATTATTATTATATATTTTAAAAACTTTTCCATTACTTACCAGTTTTCCTTTTAGTAAGCAAGAAATTGGCTTGAAAAGTACATCAACATTTTATAAAGTTGTAATTTTTAATATCCATATTAATATTATTTTTTATTAAACAATTTTCAGTACCACAACTCAATATTCATTGACAACTCAAAGATATTTAATTTAGCAGAATTGATATGGATTGAGATCATATTAACTATATCAAATTCAAGAGATATTTCTTCTGAGGATATTTTATTTTACTATAAAGTATTTATTGAAATGAAAGTAATATATAATTTAAAAATGAGAGTTTTTAATCCATGTATGAGAGTTGATCTTATTGGTTATAAAAATAAGAAATTGGTCATTAAAAATAAAAATATAATAAAAGATAATATTAAAAGTAATTTTCAAATGCAAGTAGGATTAAAAAAATATTGTAAATCTGAAGAATCTAAAAATAAAGTAGCTGCTGATTCACAACAATCATATAATTTGTCTAACGAATTTCAATATTTGAATACTACATTTAATTATTTTGGACACTATGAATGTTTACCATCTTCATCAGTAATTGAATATAAAATTAATTTATTTTTTCAATCAATAATTGAATTGAATAGTTCAACTACATCCAAAATCATATTAACAGACATAGACACCAGTTTAACAGTATTTCCTAGAAGCCATACTTCTCCAGAAATATATAAATACAATCTCCAAATTATATTAAACAAACATCCTAATGGCTTTAGAATTTATACTGATGCATCAAGGATTCAAAATAATGTTGGAATTGCTATTGTATCTATTAAGAATTGTTATAGCTATAAACTGTCATCAGAATACTCGTCATCTGAAGCTGAAGCAGTAGCTATTTTGAGAGCCCTTGACTATGCCTTAACTGAAAATATGAATGAGTATATTATTCTTAGTGATTCATTAAGTACCATTATGTGTATTCAAAACAAAAATATAAATTCTGATGTAATTAATAGTATCTTATGCTTAATACATGCTCACCAGTTAAAACAAAATGTAATACATTTTGTCTGGATTCCTAGTCATAAAATGATTGAAGGCAATGACAAAGCTGATAAACTTGCAAAAGAAATAGCTGTATCAAGTACTGCAATAACTTATACTCATAATTCGTATGTGGCAAACAATTTACCTTCAAATTAAAATATATAAAATACCTTAAATATTAACCTATAGGTTAAATATTTAACATAAAAATGTATCTTTAGCAAGAATTATGTTTATTAAAAAGATAAAGACATACTAGGAAGATAGAGGGACCATTTATTGTTTGTTAAATAATGTCCTTTTCAATAAATATTATAATCAGTAGATAATTTTATTGTAAGAATTATATTTACTACTATGTATAATCAATACAACTAAACCATTACTAAATATGTTTAGTTAAATATTTTGGTATATTTAAATATATATTATAAATCATAATGTACATTATTAAAAATAAAAAATTATAACTTAAAAGTGAGCCACTTTATTGATATACCACTAACTGATGACAAAACAATATTTTATTATTATTTATTAATAATGTAGTTAAGTTAATTTTATAAATATTTTACTTGTACCCATTTTGTAAGCTATGAAATATTCCAAAAAATGTTTTTAATGTAAAATATAATAATTATAATTTTAATAATTAAAAGTATATATTGTACAAATTTTCAACATTAAACTATGAATATCGAAATTAGTATGAGTATACCAAAAAAATACTAATAATGTTTAGGTTTTGTGACAATATTTTGTCTCACTTTGTAAAAAAAAAATGACTTTTTTCCTTTAAATAATAACTGTAAGTGATGATGCTGCTATAGCTCTTGATGAATTCAAAAATAATAATCAAAACAATTTCAGCAATTATAAATACCAAGATACAATTACATTTATTGAAATATAAATCAAACAAACTCATACTCTAATGAATTAAAAATATGTGGTATAATTTTACCTTTTGTTTAATTATTTTACAATTTTTTAGGTAGTTAAGTGTGTTTATTATTACTTATGTTATATAAATTGTATTTATTGTTGTAAATTATGTTAAGTTATGTTAAACTAACCATGTGGTAAAGTTTATATTTTTAAAATTTGTTTATTATCAAATAAAAATTGTATAAAAAAAAATATATTTTAGATGATAACAAATTGTGCTTAATTTTATTTTTAATCTTAAATAAATTTTATTTTTAGAAATTACAAATTATTTGAATTATTGTTCATTGTAAAATACAATGTGTATATTTGACTTCTGAGTAAAACTTTACAAAATACAGAAAGTATTTTTTTAATTCAAACCATAAGGAAATATGAAGATTTGAAGCGACTAATTTTTGTAATGTGTGTTAATTATTATTTGCAGTTTAAATTGTTTATAGTAAACTCGTGTTGTATACAAACTATTGACTTCATTTTTTAGTCTTTTGGTCTTGGTATCAAAATTTATAATTGAGGTATGTACTATGCCATTATGCATGTGTGCAGAGATGTACAATCAGAAGCGGATTGGCTAATTTTTTTGGCCTGGGAAGTATGGATTAAACTGGCCCATGCACCGTAAATGTAACTTTCTCCCCTCTGCCCACCATAATTTAACTTTTTTTTATAATTTCTTTAGATTCACCCCTATATTAATATAATAGCTATAACAGTTTTGAGTAAGTCAGATGAGGTTAACCTATTCTAACCTGAAGTATGATCTTATTAAATGTTTAAATATACACAGAAAATATTTTGTTACCAATCGGCGTTCAGTTTAAACTTTCATTAAATATTTTTTTAATTTTTTTTTTTACTAGTTATATATAATCTGAATCAAGCTAGACACAATAAGAATATGCGATAAACGTTAAAATTGCTTGGATATAAAAATGTTGTTATAATTTCAGTAATCCGTTTGCGACTTATTACCGTTTAAATATTTGTTCAATTTACTACTACTGGGCAATTTATCAAACCCAACAGTAAAAACCAGAAGTCAAAACGGAATGATATCTCAATTTAACAATACCCATAACGGTCATAATCGATAATAACTGTGATATTATTGCTACTAACAAGTCAATTAAATAATTTGATACTAATTTTTAGAAAAACGGATAAATTTGGATATTTTGTCCGAGGATATTTTGTTCTTGGATATTTTGACCGATTACCTCTTGAGGCACACCAGTATTTATAGTAGCTATTTCAGATAAAGAAGAATTGTATCAAACTTGGAAATTAGGATCTGTAAGATAGGATTTGATGAGTAAGTAGGAAGTGGTAGGCAGGGACGTATTTAGACTTACTTCTAGGGAGGGGGCGACTCAAATTTTTTCTTTAATTCAGGTTCAAAATTTTCAAATAAAATTTTTGGTAATATTTATATCAGGTGAATCCTTAATATTTGTGGTTTTTTTTTTTTTTTATCTAATGCTGGATCTTCTTAGAATGGTCTTTTGTGTAGTTCTTTTTTAACATCTATCTGTGTTTTGAAAGTTTCGCTTGTGTTTTATCTAATTTTTCATTATAAATAATTTAAACGTTATTCAATTTAAGCGTTTAAACGTTATACAAATTTAAACGTTTAAAAAATTTTCCGTTTACCGTTATTGTCAATTAAAACGTTATGAAAAATTTAGCGTTTTGCGTTATTTAAATTAATGTAAAATTTGAAACATTTTCAAATGTAGTAATACCATAAAATAAATTATAATTTTTGTTTCTTAATAAAATACCCATTACATATATAAAAATTTTCTTGGTCTAAAAATTCTCGGTGGGAGGGAGGGGGATTGCCCCCCCCCCCCCAAATACGCCACTGGTGATAGGAATGAATTTCTTAAGTTTATACAACAGACTGTCATACCATACTCGATCGAATGCTTGTGAGATGTTTAGGAACACAATTGCATTAGAGTAGTCGGATAATTATATGTTAGTACACAGTGGCGAAACTAGATTCTTGGAGGCGTAAATACACGTGTAAACATTTTTGATGGCCAATTGCTAGGACTGATTATTTACAATAATGTTATATACTTTATCAACATTCGGTCGACATCCAGCGGATTATACGATCGATACGGGTTTATAGTATTATTTATACTTACACAAAAATTTTAACCAGATATAAGAGGTAATTTGCATATAGCATATTACTGAAAGTATTATGTCCTTTTAGTACATTTTTTTTTTCGATCGTATATATAGTTATATGTATATATAATTTTTAATTTGAAATTTGAAAAATTTGTCAAAATATGCAAAATAAGCACAACAATTTTAAAATATGTACTCTTCAGCAAAATCTATCAAATATGTAAAAATATGCACATTCAAATTTTGGATCTGATATCATGGCACCGAGAAACGAATTTATTTCGCACTCTGCTACATTTAACGAGAATTAAAAAAAGTATACAAATTCTAGAAGTCCCTAAGCCTAGTTATTAGTTTTTAATCAGACTAATCAGAACTTGCATATAATATAAACATTGAAGATGTAGTTGATACATTCAAAAACCTTACTCCCGTGGACAGAAGGATGGAGTTGTAAATAGTATAATAATATGTAAATAAGGATTTCTTAGATATAAATTGTATAAGTTTAAATAGTATTAATTTTTATATTTGCATATTGAATTAAATAAATAATTTATAAAATTTAAAATATTTAATTATACTAGTAGTATTTAGTACAAGAATCTTTGATTCACTTTTTTAAGGCCCCCCCTGCGGACAAAGTTCGCGCACGCCTATGTTTCCAATCCTGCTTTTTACACAACTTGGACATGGTTGAGACTCGTTTGCGCACATATTAATATATTTATTACATTTATGACAACTCGTTTGCGCACAAAATTGTGAACAATGGAAACCTGCTTGTAGGTACGGTTTTGGGTATACAGAATGTCTTAAAGTATAACGATTATTTTCAATCATGGTTTCCCATTAGTTGTCATCTATCAGTAATAGGGACTTTATAATAGTGATTTCTGTGTTCACTAAGTGCATAAGTCGTGTGGGACAAGTTTTAATCTTTATTACTTTATTTCTAATCTAACACTATTTTTGTTGAATGTTTCCGATGATAACTGATAAGTCTTATAAGTTATAACAAATCTGTTGTACATTTTCGTTTATTCTCCGATTTCAGCGAAATAACGATGGACGTTATTTGTTTAACACGGAGAAAAAAACGTTGTATAGTGTTGAATAATTTTAAATTTCGAGAGTATAGGAAATTAAAAAATGGAAATTTCAATTTTCGGTGCACTAATAAACTTTGTAATGCTAGTGTAATTGTAAGCAATAATAGTGACCAAATTGTTGATAAATCTAAAAGTTCGAAGCATAACCATGAGGTATATTCAGATCAAATTATATCTAGAGAAATTGTAAGGAGCTCATTGAAAAGAAAGGCAGAAAATGATCTATATACTCGTCCAAACAAATTAATACGCCAAGAGTTAAAAAATAGTGATGTTGCTGAGAACATGGAACATAGTGATTTGAAGCTGATACGTCGTTCAATATATGATGTACGAAAAAAACACTTTCCCACGCTACCATCAAACTATGAAGAGTCTTTAAATCAACTTTTAGAAATGAAACAAACGTTGTTGTATAAAGGTAATCAATTTTGTTTTTCAAGCTATGATAATTCTGTTATTTTATTTACTTGTAAAAATAACTTGGAAGTGCTTTGTAATAATGAACACGTGTTTGGTGATGGAACTTTTACGTATACACCAAAACATTTCATGCAATTGTATACAATTCATGCTTATACAAATTATTATTATTTACCAGTACCTAGTATACTGTTTTTTAAAAAATAAACATGCATCAACATATGTGTCTATGTGGAAAACCATAATGAACTTGGCAATGCAGTTAGTAGGAAAACACTTAAGTGTAAGAATATTTCATGCAGATTTTGAAAAAGCTGCACACAATGCTCTTCTTCAGAGTTTTCCGCAGTGTAAAATAGTTTGCTGTAAATTCCAATTAGAACAAATTTGGTTCAGGCCTTTGCAGAAAAATAAAAGTTTTTTTAAAGAATACTCAAAAAATAATTCTGAAGTTGGAAGGTGGCTTAAATATTTTTTCGGTTTACCTTATTTAGACCCTAATGACGTTTCGGACGCATTTACTGAAATAATTTCAATAGCTCCATGTAACATTAGTATGGATTTTCCAGACTATATATTAAAAAATTATATTGATGTTGATGCTGATTTTGAGCCAGAATTATGGGCTAGTGAACCAGACAATAACCCAAGAACAACGAATGGAGCTGAAATCTTTCACATACATTTCAATAGTCAATTTTATACCCCCCACCCACATATTCACCAAATTATTCAAATACTTATGGAAATTCAAGTCGATACTGATTTAAAAATTAATTCACTAAAAAAAAAAAATAAAAAAAATTACCCGTAGAAAAGAAATTAAAAAAACAAAATTATATGGAAAAATATACTCTGATTATAAATCTAAAAAAGTTGACAATTTAACATATTTAATGCAAATGCGTACCAATATATTATAATCAGCATGTACTCAAAATTATTTTAAGGACTTAATTGTTAACAAATTATTGTAATTGTAAATAAAATTATTTTTAATCGAACAAATTGTAAATAACGATGGCTTGCTAAGGAATGCTAAATTAAATAACTCAAACAACATTTTTAAACCCGCCAGTCTAGAACACAATATACTTTTAGATAGAAAGTCCTAAGCCTTATAAAGGGTGAAGGAAAATGTTGTAGAGTATAATAATGTTCCACCATCGCTGATGACCAGGGCTGTGAATTTAATGCATTTGCAGGTTTTTTTCTATATTTCCAAGCCTATTTGCCTATTTTTAGTACATAAATGCATGCATATTTAACACTTTTTTGGTACTCAGCCCGGCTTATAACCAATTCGAAATTTGGAGGTAGGTACACAGGTTATGTACACTCTATACGTGGATAAATTTCTTCGAAAAAAAGGTTCCTATTGTTCACAAATTGTGCACAAATGAGTTGTAAAAAATGTAAATATGCGCAAACGAGTTGTAACCCTTGGGCATACCTAATATAATAATATTTATTAATTACCTAACTAAATAACCGAGTAAAATTTTGTTTTATAATACTATGTTTCTATTGTTTGTACAATACAGTTTTTTCATGTAACTCTATGTAACTTCACTTTATTTGTTGGGTGAAATTGACTAAAATTTATATTTTCAAAAATAGTTTTACATTTTAAAAATTGTCCGTTTTTTCATGTTGATTTTTATTATATTTAGGTTTCAGAAGTTTCATTTTTACCACAAATTAACATTTCAATAAATGTTATAATGTTTTTAGTTAAGATATTCAATTATATTTATTTTCATTTGCAATGGTAGTAATTAAATGAACAAGTAACAACATAATATATTATATAGCTTAATAATGACTAGGTTCAAGGTTTATACTGATTGGTTTACGTCTTTGCTTTGTACTAGTATTTATGAAACTACTTATAATATCTTCATGATTTATTTGTCTTAAAATATCACGCTTAATGATAAGTAAAGCTAATATTTTGAGCCTTTATTCTATCATATATTATGGCATTTTCTAAATCATTTGGAAATTTTTGAGCTAATTTATGACAAGTTTCTTTTATATCATAAAAAATATGACCTTGGTACAATATTGGAATATAACCATATGTTTTTAACCTAGCGTTGACGCTCATGCCTCATAATACTATATTATCATAGATTATATAAAACATAAATATTTATATTGTTATATATTGTTGTATATAATTTGTGATAATATCTTTTAAAACCGTGACATGGATTAAGATATTCTTAGAAATTACTATCTTATTTCATTATAGCTGTTTATGACACGATTTTGATTTCGATTTCACAATTATGATTCATGGTTAAAAACAGTAGCACAACCAAGATTGGTATACGAATAAATACAAATAATATTCATGCAGGTATTTCATATCAATCATTTCGTGTCTTTAAGATAAACCACTTTTTTTCCTACGTAGAATTTGTAAAAACTGCAGACAAATTCAAGTGGGGTCACAACCCCCAAACTTCACCTCTAGTTGCGCCACTGGTCAAAAATATCTTTTTATCAATTTGTATAAACCCAAAACAATTTTAATTTTAATCTCAAGAAATTAAAATAGGGACGACACGCTACGCTTTGCGCCCCCTCTACTTACAATTCTTGGCGCTCTAGGCAAATGCCTATTTTGCTTATATGTTAATCCATGCCTCTAAGTGACAAGTAGATTCCTAAAACTACCTCGATATTAGGAAAATAATATTTGACGGTTTTTTTCAAAGAGAAGGTGGTACATCCATTTTTCCAGAGTTATAACTATATCATTTTTTTTATCATCATATTTTATAAACTCTCGATAAAGAGACTTGGATTGAATCAGTTAATTTCCTATTTAATCTCCTAAGTCATGAGAAATTTCCATTATTATATGTTTTTAGTACGAGTATAAGTGGGTATAAAAAAATAACGATATTTTATATTATGTATTTTATTTTATTAAACTAATTTTAGAAACTGAAAAATAGTTCAAGGATAATAATATTATTTAATTATTAGACTAAGCTTTTTGTGTTATTATTGTATGATGTGTGGTGAGGGCCCTGTTGTGATGCAACCCCATATGTTGCAGCCTAAATATGACCCTGTTATGCAAGACAATTTAATTTATTTACAATCATAGCATCTAATATTATATTAATTTTCATCGACAACCCATCAAATGCATAATCAAATCCAGATCAAATGTACTTATTCAGAGTTTTATGGGACATTTGAAGTATGCTCAAAATATTGCAAAAACCTTAGGTTCGGGTACGTCCATGTCACCGCCTCCCCCCACCACAAAAACTTTAAAAAAATTGTATTCAAATATTTTTTACGTAATTTGTATGAATTTATATGACAGTTTTCAGAATTTGTACGACGTTGTTATTTGACTTATATCAAAAATACTGAAGAAGGGCCAGAGACATATGTCTCCGGCCCCCCTAACATAAATAAATTAGTATTATTTTTTTGAATTTAGTAAAACTCAAGAACTCAATTTGTATGAATTTGTACGACCGTTTCCGAAATTTGTACGGCATTTATTTACCCGAAAAACTCAATTTTCTATGTGCGGTGCGGGGAAAACATTTCTCCAGCCTCGCCCACGTGGAAAAATAATTTTTTCCAAAAATGTTCTACATCAATATTTAATACGTGATATACATGCATTTGGTTAACCGTTTCTAGATTTTGTACGCCACCTCCTCTTCTGTTATATGCGAAAAACACTTTTCCCTGTGTTCTCCGTTCCCCTAACTTTTAAACTTAAACTTCTTATTCCACAAACCTTTTACACATAATTTGTATACATTTTATAATACAGGTAACTTAAATAAAATTAATTTCAAATATTTTTTCGTTATCGGTTTTATTAATTTAAAAGAATTTTACATAATATTTATGAAAAAAAAAAAAAATTATCCTCGGTACATGCAATATATAGCTTTTATATTATTACAATTAAATGTTCTAATAATGTACTTTAACCTTTTTTATTTTCAGAATAAAAAAAGCTAACTTTTAATGGTAAAATATACACTTTAAGTATAATCATTTGAAAATAATTATATTAAAATCATAAATAAAACAAAGACTAATATGGTGTACAACACTTCACATGCAACCATCATATTTTCTTTAATATCTTTTGGTTTTTTTTTTTAGGTCATCATACAGTTCCCAATTACGTTATTCTCTTTTACAATAGGCAGAATAATGACCAATTGAATTTCTGGGCTGGCTTTTTCTTTTATGATAATTTAAAACCCCTCTGCAATATCACTGCAAAGGTTTTAAGACGGAAATCTTCAATAATTAATAATTATGTAATTGAGTAAAAAACATATATTCAAAAATTAATTTATGATGTATTTCGAAATTCTATAAACTACTTTGTGTAAATATAAATTTAAGGAGATTCATAAAATAATGTAAGAATACCTGGGTCTGTCAATTGAAAACACTTTTAATCTATTATATATATTATTATATATTATATTATTATATCTTTTAATTAAATATAACTATTTATTTTATTATACATTTAACGTTTTTCTGTCAATTTTTAAAATACACTACTATATGTAAGGCAATTATTTCATATTAATATTTATATAAAACAGATAAATCAAATCATGAACGAAACGATCAGCTTTGTGATTAATAATAACATGGTGTTAAACAGAGTAGTTTGTTATGAGTAAATTTAACTCGCAATACTAAAATTCTAAATAGATAATTAATTCAAATTAAAAATATACATAATTATTAAAAGTCAAAGTAAACTATTCACTAACTTTTTTCGCCATTATCTTCAGTAATTATTCTGTCTTTGAAATGAAGAACAGCTTCTATAACTAAATCAGGATGAACTGCTGGCTTTCGTCCTTTCATCTTAGAATTTAGCGATAACATTTTTACCAAACAAAATTTGAGAATAAATATAAAAACACAGTTAATTTAGATTTCAAAAACGAAAACGCAGGAAATAAGAAATTCAATAAACGTCAGAACAGTTTATTGAAGAGTAAAACATTACAAGTCACAATGCCTAATATTAGTCTAAATAATGCACAAAAAATAGAAAAAAAAACACAGAATATTCTGTGATATAATTGTGTATATTTTCCAATTAAATTTTATTATTAAACATTGGCTTATTTAATCTTAGTATAAAAACAGAAAATGTTAAGGTACATTATTAGAACATTTAATTGTAATAATATTTAAGCTATATATTGTATGAATCAAGGATAATTTTTTTTTTTTCGTAAATATTGTGTAAAATTCTTTTAAATTAATAATAACCAAAGTAATGAAACCGATAACGAAAAAATATTTGAAATTAATTTTATTTAAGTTCCCTGTATTATGAAATCTATACAAATTATGTGTAAAAGGTTTGCGAAAGAAAAAGTTTAGATTTCAAATTTGGGGGGCGGGGGACACGGGAAACAGGGTTTTTTGTATATTTCAGGAAAGGGGGTGAAGTAAAAATTCCGGAAACGGTCGTACAAATTCATACAAATTATGTGTAAAAGGTTTGTGGAAGAAAAAGTTTAGATTTCAAATTTAGGGAGGCGGGGGACACGAGAAAAAGGGGTTTTCACATATTACAGGAGAAGGGGTGGTGTACAAATTCTAAAAACGGTCGTACAAATGCATGTATATCACGTACTAAATATTGATGTAGAACATTTTTGGAAAAAATTATTTTTCCACGTGGACGAGGCTGGAGAAACGTTTCCCCCGCACCGCACATAGAAAATTGAGTTTTTCGGGTAAATAGATGCCGTACAAATTCCGGAAACGATCATAAAAATTCATACAAATTATGCGTAAAAGGTTTGTGGGAGAAAAATTTTAGATTTCATATTTAGGGGGACGGGGGACACGGGAAAAAAGGTTTTTCACATATTACAGGAGAAGGGGTGGCGTACAAATTCTAAAAACGGTCGTACAAATTCATACAAATTATGTGTAAAAGGTTTGCGGAAGAAAAAGTTTAGATTTCAAATTTGGGGGGGCGGGGGACACGGGAAACAGGGTTTTTCGCATATTTCAGGAGAGGGGGAGAAGTAAAAATTCCGGAAATGATCGTACAAATTCATACAAATTGAGTTCTTGAGTTTTACTAAATTCAAAAAAATAATACTAATTTATTTATGTTAGGGGGGCCGGAGACATATGTCTCTGGCCCCTCTTCAGTATTTTTGATATAAGTCAAATAACAACGTCGTACAAATTCTGAAAACTGTCGTATAAATTCATACAAATTACGTACAAAATATTTAAATAAAATTTTTTTAAAGTTTTTGTGGTGGGGGGGCCGGTGACATGGACGTGGTTCGGGTATCGGTCTTCGTCAGGACTGGCACTAGAAAATATTAATAGGAGGGGGGATTATAAATATATAAATTTGGCTACTACTTTCTAAAATAAAATTCTACAATAATAATATTACTTAATTTGTTGATGATTGCAGACTATCAGTGACGGTTTTACGGGGGGATAGGTGGACCGCCCCCTCCGTGTAAAAACTAAAAAATATGAACGAGAAAACAGTTTACTAAAAATCGTTTTATCAATAATTTTATGTCAAAACCGTTTACTGTTTACAAAAATGTTTGCTCCTATAGAAATTTGACTGTTAATTAAGTTTGAATAAAAAATAATTTTTGTTTTAATTTTTTTATTGATATTTTTATGTTATGCCATTGTGGTATAAAGTTTATAGAACTTAAAATGACTTCTCATGTATCAAGCAATAGGAAAAAATAAATGGTATATGTATGCAAATTGTGGGTATATGCAAAATATTTTCGCCCCCTCCCTCTTGTAGCTTCTTAAAAACCACCATTGCCGACTGTATAAACAGGTCATTCTATGCAACCCCCCCATCTCCTTCTCCTAATACCGGTCCTATCGATCTTCTATGCCCAAGCCAACATATACCAATATAAACGCATCATAACTTATCTTTCGTGAGCTTTAATTACAATCCTAGGTTTCTTCAAAAAGCAAGCAATACTAAGTAATTTTTCCTCTATACTGAACAATATATATGTCGAAAATATTAGTTTTTATTTTATAAATTTGTGCTATTTTCGTTTAAATGTTTGATTTAACTTCGTGCTTGTAAATTTAAGAGGCCGTTACACCCGCATGTGTTGTCTCCATTTGACATACGTACAACATAGCAAATTTGCGTTCAGTGATTCAAATGTAGTGGTGTTAGCTTTAATATTAGAGTAAACTGACCTATAATCAAACTTCAAGGGAAGAATGTTATCTGTTTTTTTGGTCGAATTTTTTTGATATTTAAATTTTTTAGCGAGTTATATTTTTTTAAATGTTATATTTTACATACTCATAACACGCTTAAAAATTAAAATATCTTTTATAACTTAATATATATAATATTAAGTTTAATTATAGGTTAGTTTACTCTGATATTAAAGCTAACTTTACTACATTTGAATCACTGAACGCAAATTTGCTATGTTGTACGTATGTCAACACATGCGGGTGTGACGTCCTCTTAAGACTAGGGTTACCATAATAATTTCAGACCAAATCCAGACATCAGTTTCGTTTCACGGAGGAGGGGGGGGGGGGGTAAAAATTTAAAATAAACAATATTGTTATTTAATTAATACAGTTTTACTTAGATCTATGAACAAAATGTCTACATAAGAGTTATTAGGTTAAATATGTTAAAACAATACAAATATGATGTATAAAAAAAAAAAATTTACATATTGTACATTTATACAGAGTGAGCACGAAAATCTGTCACCTGATATAACATTTTGTATCATTATAACCATGATAATCGATTATCTTTGTAAAATCTGGACATTTTTCAAATCCGGACTGTCCGGACGAAATCTGGACGTATGGTTATCCTATCTTAAGACTGAACATTAGGTAAAATAAAGTCAATATTTTAATTTGTGCACCTATTTAATATAAGTACTAGTTTGCATAAAATTTGTTTTTACGAATATTCACACAGCTTTTCGTAATAATTTTTTTAATGACTCTTCAATCATATCATTTTTAATCAACAATAAATGATCTGGGAACAGATATCCAACTACAATATTTAAATAATTCATTTTTAGAAATGGATGTTAATGGACGATAAAAAGTATCCAACATAAATAATTAAAAAATGTACGAAAAACATTGCATTTTTAATAACGATGTTGAGTGTGTTAGTTGTGTCGAATTTGAAAAAGTTACATATTTACGATCGGAAAATGAGTATAAAAGAGAGATTTGTTTAAAAAAATCGTTTTAGCCGAAGACATACTAAACATTACGCGTCATCAAATTGTTCTAAAAACAAACAATAAATCTAAAAAAATAATTACTTAGTATGCCAGTTTTATCAAATAAATCATGGACGTCAAATATCTACAGGTACACCAAACACAATGTCACGATCATCAAAACAATAATACACACGTTTACAGCATTGAAACGGATAAATATTTCGCTGCGCGGCAAACGAATCCGTGACGTCACGGACAATGTAAGAAATCACCGTGCTAACGAACGAATATTCTATTTATTATGGTAATAAAACAATTATTGATTTTTTTTGAATTGGATGGTCCTATAAGAAAATTGATAATATAGTGTATCAGTCAATTCCATATTCCATAAAACTTTAACTACATTTATCTACATCGTATCCCAGACTATATGAACAATTTTCATGTTGTCTGTGGTGATACGCGTGATATTTTGATAATATACTGAAGATTTAAACTGTTGTTAAATCCCCTCTCAAACATTTCCGATCCCACAGTTGATCGTAATTCCCTATAAACGGAGTTTCGATAACAGTTGAATTTTATGTGGTCATTGTTGACACGTTGCTAAACTGTATTCCTAAATATATTGTAAAATACTGAGTCTAAACAAAGATTTATAAGTATTTCTTTTTTTTTAATATAAATTATTGTTATTAAACTATTTTTAGTTTTCTTACATAATAAATAGTTAATCTTTTAAATTTTATTAAGAATTTAAAAAAAAATTGACTATAAAGAAAATATTGAGGCAGGGCAGACGGCTGATTATCATCATATCATAATTATAACGATTTCAAGTACATTTGTAAGTTATACAAGAGAATGTAATTCTTAATATTTATATTTACATCATCAATCCTTGTAAATAGGTTTTATTTATTAAGCGTTCAAAATGTTTGCCACAATATACAAATCGCTTTTTAATAAATCTAAAATGGAAAATAATAAATTAGATCCAGAAACAGTTATGAAAACTAGACAAAACGTAGAGAATCTACTTACTGATTTGTGTGAAGTAAATGATACTTTAAACGATGATGATAATAGTTCCAAATCAAAAGATAATTCTCTTGAGTCTATTGAGTTGTCTTTTGATAATATTCATCTAGAATATTTAAATGATAATGATTCTGTTGACAATTTTGATGACTCTAAGAATGATATTAGTTTTGATGGTAATAATAAACCAGAGGTTGCCCAAATTGAAAATTTCGATGACAAAAAACTAATAAACCAAATTAATAGTCTTCAATGTCCATTTACATGGAATTTGAAGCAAAATCACAAAATTTCACGGTTACAAAATGAATATGGTGAATATAACTTGGATATATCTTCTCAAGAATTTTTATTTGAAAGGTTAGTATGAAATATAATATGTATTTTTAGTATACCTACTTTGTTCGTTAATTTATATGTATATAGGTTTATTGGTAATTTAATAATTGGTTATGAAATGTTTCGTTTGGGAAAATCTAATTTAGCATTAATAAAAATATCAGAAATTGGAAAATGGCTTGAAGAATTGGATGATAAAAGTACTGATGTCTTTTATTTATCCATTAATTCTGGCCTTTTACATGTACTGAAAGCTACTTTTATTCATATATTATTTGCTACAAATTCGATTGAGGAAAGTAAATTGGTAATTATTAATTTATTCATATTTATAACCTACTTTAAATATTCCAAATTTGTGTTTTGCATTTTTATCTTTTATTCTGAACAATTTTATGATTAAAGATTATTGCCTTCAGTAAAAATTAATATAATAATAAAATTAATAAAAGTTGATGATTACAAATTTGAAAGGGTACAGAGCTTCAAATATCTGGGCACAGAGGTCAATGAAAGTGCTAATAGCCACGAAGAAGTTAAAAAACGAATTACAGCAGCAAATAGATGCTACTATAGTCTAATGCCACTTTTCAAATCAAGACTACTATCAATAAATTCTAAAATAACGTTATATAAAGTCGTAGTCAAACCGGTTGCCCTGTATGCATGTAGTACATGGGCCACGACAAAATCGGATGAAGGAAAGTTAGGATTTTTTGAAAGAATAATATTAAGGAAAATCTTCGGTCCAAAGAGAAATAACGATGGAGAATATGTGGTGAGAGGCAACAGGGAATTGTATGATCTATACAAGGAACCTACAATTGTTGGGTCCCTGAAGGGTAACGAGGATAAGTTGGGCAGGACATGTATGGAGGTCAGAGGGAATGATTGGTTCAATAACTAAATGGAAACCCGACACTAAGAGACCTCGAGGACGCCCCAGACAAAGATGGGTGGATAGAGTAAAGGAAGACTTGAAACTCCTGAACATAAGAAACGCAGAAGAATGTGCAAATGATAGAGGAAAATGGAAACAATATGTTGTTGCGGCGAAGGGCCTTAAGGGCCTGTAAAAGCTCAGAAAAAAAAAAAATTAATATTATTTCAAACTATTATTATTGTACTTGTAATAAACAAAATGAATGATTAGTTCAGAACTTAAAATTAATACTTAACTTATATTAATGATGAAACTTTGAATTTAATTTCTCAGGAATTTAATAGTGAAGAAAAATATTATTTTTACTTTTTAAAATAAATATTGATTACATTATTGATATTTTTTCTTTTCATTTGAGATACCATACATTTTTTAGGGTGTTATTGGGAAATCTTAGTGTTTTCTATGTAAGCGGGGCAATGTTTTTTAAAAACCTTTTTTATTATTCAAACAATATTTTCCTACATAATATGTTAAAAAATAGATAAATTACTAAGTATAAATAGAAGATATAAATTTAAAAAAAAAAATTTCTTCAAATAAAATTGGTTGCCTCTACAGTTTTTAAATCATTTTGAATTTTATCTTGGTTCATTTAAAAAATACGAAAATTGATTATATTTTTATTTTTATCTAGTTCATACACGATATTGTTCCATTTGCCAGTTTGGATCCAAAATCAAGAGCTACTGTGCATGCTATACGTGCGGCTATATTAACTAAGTATGATGGAGATGCTAGTCATTACAAAAAAGCTTGTGAGTGTGCCAAAAAAGCGTGTGATTTGAATCCAAGTACTTCTCATTGGTTTTATATTTATTCACTTGCATTGACTGCTCAAAGGATATTTTCACAGTCCTTTAAGTCTTCTCCATCAGAAAATGAAATAAATGCAATTCAGCAAGCTATTGAGCTGTCTGGAGGAAAAAATATTGTGTTTGAATATAAAAAAATGATATTAAAAAGAGATTCCATTATTTGGAATTTTCATAGCAATAAGAATAAAAATGATAAATCTGTGATTCAAAAATATTTGTTGGATAATAAATCAATTGTTAAAATGATCAAGTATGAGAAACAAAGTTAATTATATTAATATTAAATTTAATATATTTTCTCTCGTATTAATATACAAATACTTTTATATCATTTTAGAACCATAATTTATATGGGTCCAAAAGACCCTCATATTGTTATTAATTGTGCTAGAACTTTAATAACTCTTCCATTTATGGTACGTGATTTAAATTTGGGAAAGAAGTATTTGACTAAAGCTCTAAATATGGCACCAAATGATGGAAGTGTTTTAAAAGCTATTGAAATAGTCGTTAAAGTTTATAACAAATTAGTAAGATTTTGTAATTTATGTATTTTTTATAAATATATATTTTTAATATATAATATATAGCTTATAATTACTTCAATATTTTAGTCAAAAAAGAACAAAGTTTCTACTAATGAAATGAAGAAAAAAGCATTAGTCAAAAATGATAATTCTTTTTTAAATAAAGAATTAAAATCCATTATTATAAAACATAAAAATGGTGAAGATCTTCTTCCTTATCTTACCGATTTACTAGATAAATTTGATGGATATGAAAAATTAAAAATTATAGCTGAAATATGTTCATATACTATATTATTTAAAAATAACTTAAAAGCTGGTATTGAACAATTTGTAAAATTAATTGAACATCCAGATATTGTAAACAATGATTTAATTACAGTAAGTATTTTCTTTAAAATGATTTTAAAAATCTTTTTGTTTGATATAATTTGTATACTTTACATATATTTCTTTTTTTATGTTATCTATGTTTTCAAATTCTCAATGATTAAAAACTACTCAATGCATTATATAGTTTTATTTATAAATGCTATTATGATTATAAATTTATAAATTAGTATGTTTTTACCAACTTTTTTAACTTCTGTATTGGTATTAATATTCTTTTTAAAAAAAAACTACATTCATCATTCATATTTAAATATTTATTTATAACATTTTTATAACTATTTTAATTTTTCAGCAACATTGTTCAACATTCTGTGCAAAGAAGTTTAATTTAGCTGAACTTATTTGTAATGAAATAAGATTAGCTACTAATTCAAATAAAACTTCTTCTGAGGATATGTTGTTTTATTTTAAAATGTTACCTGTGATTATTGAAACATGTAATATAGTGATAAAAGAAGTTGATCCATTGATGAAAAACGGGTTAATCAATATTTTACCTACTAAATTAACATGTTTAAATAGTCAAAGTGAATCTGATTTGCTGCCTAATGAAGATGTTGATAAGACAATTAAAAATAAAAATCAAAAGAAAAAAACTCTGAAAAAAACTAAAAATTTGTATTATCCTGGTTCCAAAGGTTTTGTAATTAACTCTCAAATCAATAATGTTCATATGAAAACTCATCAAACAAATGCAATTGATAACAATCAATTGAAATCAAAAACATTAGAGTTTTTAAATTCTTCTGCAGAAAATCAATCTTCAAAAAATTCTATCCCTTCGATTAACGTTAACTTAAAAAATTTACAGAATAATGAAGAATTACAGAATTACACTCAGCAGTTGTATCAAAATATTTTAAGTAATATGCATCAACAGTATAATTTACATAATATTACACCTCAGGGTCTTAATCGGTTTTTTAATCAAAACCATGCAAACCTAAACTGTTCTTCTCGACAATCACCATTTCGAAATCCTCAGACACCTCCATTACTCAGCTTAAGACCTCAAATAACTCCAGAAAATTCAAAACCTATTAAACAACAGCCAAAAATGATGCCTACTAAAAAGAAATGAGTTGACTCAAATTTTGTTTTAATAACATTTATAGCGATTTCTTTATTAAAACAACTAATAACCATAATTAGTACTTGGATTTTATTTACTTAGGGTTGCATCATTGGTGTGTCATTGTTATGGTTTTTTGTTTTTTTTTAACGTCCACATTATTCATTAATATGAACTGTTAATATATTTATAATTATATATTATATAATAACATTTACTCAGAAATAAATATTCAATTTATTTTTGTTTTTATTTTTATTATTTGTCCGTGACAACTTTAGTCTATTGGATGAATTTAACTTATAACATATCAATGTTACAGATTATAATTATGAAATATTATTATTATTTTTTTTTTATTATAAAACTGCATATTTGTATATTACATATTGTATTGAACTATTATATTTCTAATTTTTTTCTCGTAGAATTTTTGTATTTAATATCGATTTTTAATTGTAAAATATAAAAACTGATTTAACTTTAAACAGTAGTAAAATATTATTTTTTTTCTTTATTTGTATTATACAATCTAAATGAATTACATAGCATATTATACATTTTCTTCAAATAAATTACAAAATTAGTAATAAGATTACATAAGGTTAACATAATCAAGCAGTCATCCATTAATAAAACCCATACATGTGAAGAATTTTTTTTTAAATTATATTTGTGATTGTGTTGATTTTGATTAGAGAGGATAAAATAAGCTAAAATGAGATAAGGTCATAGCACTATTTTCGTTTTAAACGTCTATATTGCCTGGTATGGAAAGGACTGCCAGACTTTGTTGTTATTTTAGGTAAGATGGCTGTGAAAGCGTTTATAATACATTTTGCTTCATCATGAATTGATCTAGGTTTAAGCCTGGAATGTACCTATATAATATAATTTTTATTAAATTTAATGTGATACATGGGTATTTTGGGTAATATATTTTTTGTTGTTAGTATTATAGTATATGTTGGGTATACCAAGACTCATGATCAAAAATTAACTTAATTTATGTTTTTTTGGTTTCATTCAGGTGGGAGCACTATAAATATCAGGGCCCCAAAATCGTGGGGCCCGGGACACGTGCCCCACTCGCCCCTACGATTGCTCCGGCACTGAGTATTATATGAAACGTACAAATGTATACGTTTACATGTATAAATATATTATTTATAATGCGTAAATAATTATTATATCTAATGAGAGATATGCTCAGGGAGACTATTTTTATTGGAAGTGTAGGGCAGAGGTGTTGAAGAATCAAGGGTGGCGTTTTTTTAATAGTGGTGAAGACCGAAACAGCAGAGTCTATCTTATTGGCTGTTTTTAAAGACATTTCAAGGGATATGTTTTTTTCAATAAAATCCGAAAAAAATTCCCAGTTTGTTTTACCTGGAGTGAGAGTCAGAAATTTTTTTGGATGGGTAATTTGATTGTTGAGAGTGAGCAGAATTGGTGTATGATCCGAAGAGAGGTCGAATGAATTTTCTATATGAAGATTGGTATGGTTTGGTAGAATGCGTACGAAGAAATCTAGGAGATCAGAGGTTCTGTTAAAGTAGGAAGGTCTGTAAGTTGGCCGGTAGGGAATAAGTGTTATAGATTACTGATGAGAGAGTTGTACAGAGAGTGACCTCTTGGGTAAGTTAATATAGAGCTCCAACTTATGTATTTTGAGTTGAAATCTCCACCTGATAAAAAGGTGTTTCTCAGGGATTTGTCATTCGTACATAATGGGTATATGCAAGCTTCTAATTTTTCATCACCATAAGACATACATTATATAACAACAGTATAGAATTTATTATTATTATTATTATTATATACTATTGCCACTATCCAAAAATAGCCTCGTGCCCCCATAAACTTCGATTAAATTTTCCCCGACTTCGGGTATTTGCGAAAACGGTCGGAAACTGCCGAGCGTCTACATACATTAGAATTTAATACCGGTGGACGCGTGCGATATTGTATTGTCGAGCGAATATTATAATTGTTAAAAATAGATCAACAGTCAAAAAGTTATGTTTATAAATTTATTACAATATCAACTGATCTGTCTACGATGTTTTAGATAGATTTTGATAATTAATTATTATATTTTTGTCAGTTTGTCACTTAGTATTTATTCGTCGCATGTTTGTGCAAATTATTTTAAATTAATACTAAAATGTTAATACACCTAACAAAACATTAGGTTACATGAAAATAAATATTAACATAAATATTATGTTTCATATATGATATATACCTATGATTTAATTAAAGATAAGTTTAAAATGTATACTTCCATAGCATGGATCCAAGGGGACTAAGGGGCGTGCGCTCACTTCAAATCCTTCCAAAATACTTTTGTTGAATTTTTGTACACCCCTAACCTCTTAGGAAAAAGTCTGGTGGGGGTATATCCCACGTCCCCATCATATCATGTAATTTTGAGTTTAGGTAGGTAGAACATTTTTTTAAGGGGTTTGGCCCCCCCTCCCACCAATAAAAGCTTATGTGCTGAGCGTATACCTTAGAAAAAAATTACGAATATACCACTACTAGTTATTTTATTAAGGTGCGGCCCCACTGGAAGCGATTTGCGTTTTAGCGATTTTAACAAAAGTATGTAACCCATATATAGTGGGCCCACTGAGCGCGTGTCGCGTGTAGCTTTATACGGGCGGTAATCGCTGAAAGAACAAAATAGTTTGATATTCGGCGATTAATCGCTGTCAAAATGTCTTCTGCGTCGGTTGTGTCCGAACAAATAGCTGCCGCTGTCTTCGTACAGGAAGCTATTTGGAATCCTAGACACCCAGACTACAGTAATAAGACTAAGATCCAAAAATGTTGGTCCAACGTTGGAAAAGATCTCGACATGGATGATAATTTAATTTAATGTCAATTAAAGCAGCACATTCAGCCAGCAACATTTTTCTGGACGTCATCTTGGTTGAGGATCGAATAAACTAATGAAAAATAAAACGAACACGCGTGACGTAAAATTGTAGAAACGCATGTAAAATCGCTAAATTGTCCCCATCAAAATCGCTAGTGGACATCGCGCGTGTAAAATCGCAGAAACGCTCGAAACGCAAAAATTCAGAATCGCTTCCAGTGGGGCCGCACCTTTAGCTTGACTAGGAGGACAGTATACTGTGGAGATTGTGATGGGATGTGATTTAGCAATGATGAAATGTTAGTGGCTTAAAGGAAAAAAGTTCGAAAAAGAGGGAGAGTTGTGTAATTTATATTAAATTAAATTTTGATAGCAGATCCTGCGTGGGCTGTTCCATCTGGATGATCATAGTGATGCGTTGTTATAACCAGGAATTCGAAATGTGGAAGATGGAGTTACGTGAGATTCACTGATTAAAATCATGTCTATATTTTTTTAAGTAATAAGAGTTTTTAATTCATTTTTTTTGTTTAACTAGATCGTTTGCGTTCCAGAATATTTATAATATATATGCATAATATGCATTTATAAATTAAAAATGGTTAAGTATGAAAAATATGCAGCTACGAATTTTAAATATAAACTTGTATTTCTATGAAAAAAATGTCTATATTACTTAGCTATGTTTTTGATAATTATTTAAAAACATGCAAACTCCTAGAAGTCCAGAGCCCTAATGATAATACTAGCGGAACTCAACGTCTTAATAAACAAATACCAAAAATAGTTTTGTTATTATACATCGTAATATTCGTCATAATATTGACGTAAATTAAAATCCAAATTTTAATAAAAATTATTTTGGACATAAGTTAGGGTAAACATGGCGTCCCCCCCGGATGTGGGGTCAGATCCCCCCCCCAAGGCTTTCAAATGTTATAAAATAATGTTCTTAGTGTGAGGGCGTTAGAAACGTAAAAAAATAATGATAAAATAAGAATAGGTAATGATTTGTTTGTAAATGATCTCCACCATACAAAATTTAATTATACTTCACTGTATAAAAATATGTATATTTAATATATGGTAATTATTAGTGACAATACACATTAATCTATTCCATTTTTTATTAATTTATGAATTTCGTATTCGCTTGCGTGCAGCGTTGCGCTGTGTCCAATGTGAACGCGGCGAACGCGGCAACGAAGGCGTTGTGATGCGGGCGACGCGGCGAATAAAATTATCAAACATATAAATATAGATTAGATTGTCCAACGTACGCGATAAACGCGGGTGACGCGAACGAATTAATTCGTTTGCGTTCGCCGCACGGTTTGAAAATCAAATTGTTTTGTTTTTGGTCACGCGTTAAAGCGAACAGACGTCAAAATATTTCTATTAAAATTTACGATTTATTATTATAAATGATTTTTTAAAAATTTTTATACGACTATTTTATGATACGAATAGATAAACGGGTAATATATATTATTAAATTATAATATATAGTATTTTAACTATAATAGTATTATATATTTATATATTAGATATTGTTGTATGATCAATATGGAGCTCATTATATCTGAGGTACAAAAAATGAATGTGTTCTTTGGAATAAATGTAATACAAAGTATATTAAATATTTCACTTCAGCACTTTTCAATAGGTATTAACAATTGTTTTTCAAGACTAAAAGACATTTTTTAGTTTTTGTTTTTAAAAGAATAGAACATAAACGTGTAAAATATACCGCATAACCTTTGCACAACTCACTTCAAAATACACTGCAGGTAAAAAAAAGTAAAAAATATCTGAATATGGTTTAGTCACAAATTCGCGTTCACCGCGTTCACGTTGGACACAGCGTTAGGGTCCGAACGCACTGCGGTATTTTCGCCGTCGGGTCCGAACGGTTTTACCGTTCGCTGATTTTACGACCCGCATCGCACTGCGATTTTTTACCGCTAATACAATAAGTGCTATCACTCAATTTTCCCGCCTAAACTGGCTAAATATCAATTTCTAATTTCCATAAGAAAACTGAATATTGATAGTTGATAGTACAGTGGTTGGTTAACCAACTACTATGGTCTGTGATCTACTTTATTTACTATATTTCACTATATCTAATACTGTAAATTTAAATTTTTTATACCTACCTACCACGATTTGTACACAAACACCTAAATACATGTAAGTTATAAATTAAATTATTAGTTAATTTAATGCATAGTCCTACTTATTATATTAAATTAAATTTATTTAGAATGGAGTTAGATGATTATGACAATTTATTTAAAGTGATTGCTGTCGCAGAAGCATTTGGTGAATTAGAAAAAAAATATAAGTATACGAAAAATTACAAAATTAACCGTTGACTATAGTGACAGTGGGTTCCTTTCTATCGAAACAATGTGTTTACTTTACGAACGGTACAACGGCAGCGCCGTCAAACCGCAGCATGTTGCGGCAACCGACGGCGGAGAACGGCGAAACCGTCGAGTGCGGTGCAGTCCGTCTAAATATAGTAGTTTGGTGTGAACGTAAAAACCGTTCGGACCCGACGGCGAAAATACCGCAGTGCGTTCGGACCCTTAGAGATATGACGTATATCATATTCTCTACTAATAGTATATCAATGTAATTCGTATTGTGTCTTAATACACCGCGTTTAATATCATTCGATACGGAGTGAAGATTAACTGCTCAATCTGGCTTCATATTACTCTGTCAGACATTCTCCAGCCTCCGTTCTGGAAAAATCTGGTAATATTAATTATATTATTATAATAACAGTTTCTCCGTGCATTGCCAGTTAATTACCTTATCGCAACGAACTCCCCGGCCTAGCCGATGGAAGTTCATATCTTATCTCAACCCATAATGAATAGTCCCGCAAATAAATACACCGCTAACGCATTAAATACCAATACAAAAATTACTAAAGCCACATTATCATTATTTATTAGAAATATAACCTAAGAATATTTACATATTTAAAATGTACATAATATATATATAAATATATGCAGGGCCAGATTTAGGGAGGGAACCCACGGGATCCCCACAAGATTCAATTAATAAGAGACCTCCACAAAATGGTTATTTTTTTTTTTTTAATTTTTCTAGTAAATTGCAAAAAAATGTATTTCTTGAAGTTTGACAAGTGGTGCTATTAGTGTGTAAAAAAACGAATCACTAGATTGGTATTGATAATTTTCTACCATTAATACTTAATTATAAACATAATTACTCAACTATACTCTGACGAGACTAACGACTTAGCGAGCGCCGAGCTTCCATTTCCCCCTCTCTCGGCGTTGTCGTCGGACACGTGCAACCGGTCGTCGGAGCGCGTCGTCGGTCGGTGGGCCGTCGGGGTATCAAGCTTATCACTAGTACAATAATAGATTTTCTTATATTTCAATCTTATGTGGGCCCTGGGGCCCCCACAATCTTAAATCCGGCCCTGAATATATGATACATATATATGTACATAAACTATAACCGACATTTTATCATTGGATTGTTGGAGTCATGGACGCTATTTTATCTACGGTCATGGAGGTTAAATCACCGAGTTGTAAATTGTGATAGTCAAATGTCAGTAAATATTTTGATTGGCTGATAGGAGGACCACGGAATTAAAATTGATATTAACACTGTCTCTCTGAGAAGGTTAATAGACGTTTATCCGTAAGTTCTAGATTTAATATTACTCTACAATATGCCTCATTTTCGATTGGAAACCAATGTTCCAAAATCAAAAGTTACTCCCGAATTACTGAAAAAACTTTCCAAAGCTGTGGCTTCAACTCTCGGCAAACCGGAGTCCGTACGTATTTTGATCTGGATATATGAAATAAATTACTATTGTTTTCTCAGCGAAAAACTTATCATTTATCATCTAACTTAATCATTTAACTTTTCAGTATGTAGTTGTGACTGTTGTACCTGATCAATTGATGGTTTGGGGTGGAAATGATAAACCATGCGGTACTGCTTTGTTAATGAGCATTGGTTGCCTAGGCGTTGAAGAAAATAAGAAACATGCTGCTGTTTTGTATCCACTTTTAGAAAAAGAGCTAGGCATTCCAGGAGATAGGTTTGTTGAAATAATTTCTTGTCTTATATTCTTAGATAATCTACTTACTAAATACTAATATATTTATATTTTATTTTAAATAATTATAAAGCAGGTAACTTCACTATTACTTTCTTATTTATTATTTATTTTTTTTGTTTATTTTTCTCTTATGTTATGTTCTTGATATTTTCATTTAATATTGTAATTGCATGAACTTTCATCTCCAGCACAGCCTTTGGCTTTGGAGTTGATCCAACAAAAATTTATTATTTAGTAATTTAACTTGTATATATTGTTTGTTGGAGAATTGATAATAATAATAATAATAATAATAATAATAATAATAATTATTATTATTATTATAATATATTAATTTTTCTTTATTTTTTTTTAGGTTATACATAACATTTTCAGACCAAAGTACATCTAATGTTGGTTATACTGGAACAACTTTTAAAACAATTTTTGGATAATTTATCATTGAAATGACAAATATTTGGATACAAGTCCAGACATACAAAATTTACAGGTGTTTCTGTTTTAATTTTTATTTAATTGAAAATAAACATTAAATAAAGTAAAACAAATAGTCTTATAATTTTGTCATACTATGTTGTCTTGATATTTTTTTTTCAAATCAAGTATAAATGTTAATAAAATATGAGTTGAATATAGTCAATAATGCATCAAAATTTGAAGAATCTTCTATGACAAAGACTATACAGTCCTCTATTAGATATGTACTAAACATACCATATATTTTATTAATAACAAACATGTCATAATTTGTTTAAATTATCTACATGCAATGGTAGCACAGATTGTTTGCTCTGTTTTAGTAAGATAATTTTTTATTGTTGACCGTTTTAGCTATCATAAACTAATAGTGATTATGATATTTAATGCTATACATAATGAGGCAATGAAAAAATTTGTGACAATTAAATAGATAAGAAAATGTATCTGTTTCTATTATAATTAAAAGTTTGCAATAAGATTTATTAACCATCGGTTGTCATAAATAAATATTAGAATTATACAAAGTAAAGATATTCTACTCATTAAAAATTAATTTTGTTTACCACTTAAATGTCATTAATTAAAATCAAAATTATTCTAGGAAAAAAAATGTTTTAATTAAGATTTCTTCAAAAAAATATCATTGTGTAGGCTCAGTAAAATATCTTACAGTTATTAAATAAATGAAGATTGCAAAATGTGGTTAATTTTTCTTATAAAATATAACAAGTCTTGCATTAAATGAGTCATATTGACTCCAATTACATGAAAGTTAATCTTTAATTATTATAGTAGTGGCCAACCTAGTTTCTTTATAAATTTTTTAATTTAATTTATGTAATTGTAAAATTATAGTTAATAATAGTTAAGTAAAACACTAGTTAATATGCAATAAAATTATGTTGCGTCCCACAAGTTTTTAACATTTTAATCGAACAAAAGATATTGCAAGGTGGGTTTACGAATAGTGTGGACGCAATAACGCAACATTTGAAGACATAGTCATGCTTCAAAAAAAATGATTTTTTGGACCAATCAAATTTATTAAGTACCAAAATATAAAAATTATAAATTATTATTATAAAATAGTACAAATAGTATTCAAAATCGGTTGGTGACAGACATTCTAATAGCTATTATATTGTCCACTAATTTCTTGACATATTAAATAAGTTAACAGTTATTTTCCATATGCTTGTTATTTATTTTGTATCAGGTCCGTCATCACCTTTATTTTTATATTTACAAATTAATATATATATAAATGCTGTAGCACTAATTGTAAATTATTTATACTTAAAATAGATAAAATAAATAGTTTGGTATAATCAAAACTAATAAAATATGTAATACCACTACAGAAGACTAAGGTCAAGTGAAGGTACACTGCACAACATAGTAACATTATAACAATCACACATCATATTGGTCTCATAAAATGTAACAGTTCAGATTAATAATAAAGCATAGGGTTGTGAATGTGTATGTGCTAAAGGATGAGTTTTTTTTATAATAATAATAATATTTTCAATCAAACCGATTTATTTAACACATTTAAGATTAAATATTAAAATCAGACACATTAAATTTTTATATATTATAATATATATAGTATAAAACAAATTATACTTAAATACGAAAGCAATTAATTAAATTAATGCACAAGTCTATCCAAAAGTGTTTTAAAATATAATAATTCAATAATTGTTTGTTGCATTTATGACAATGCTGGTATAAAATTATTAAGAGACCTGTATAATAAATATTTGAGTATAATTTTTTTTTTTTTTTTTGGTTTTCAAATTATCATGACTAATACGTTTAAAAAAAAAAAAAAAAAAAATTATAATAATAAAAACAAAATACACAAGTGTAGGAATACAACAAAAGATGCTACCAGGGAAAGAAGAATTCACAAGAAGATTCAGTCTTTTCTTGTTCTGCGCTTTCTCGGAGAGGATGGCACTTGATCTTCACTAACTTGATCAGCCTCTGCATCAACCTTAATAATAATATACACAGTAATATTTTAATATTTTCAATTTATTTAAATCATAAATTTTATGTTTTATATTATAAAACAATAATATTTTAAAAAAGTACTTACATTTTCTTCCTCGTCATCAGCACTTTTACCATCAACTTCTTCATCTTTAGTATCTGCTGTTGGTTCTTCATCAGAAGCTTCTTCTACATCTGGTACTGGTTCATCAGTTTTTTTTCTTGATTCATCTACAGGTTTTTCCTGTTAGCAATAACAAAAACAATGTATACAAAAATAAAATATATGATTATAAAGTAATAATAGAAATTGTGGAATAAAAATTACTTTAGATGAGGTGCAGCAGGATATAACTACAAGTACAACAGTTACAGCAATAACAACTACATATACAGCCCATAACCATGGGTTTTCATTGGTGTATCTAATTACAGCTCCAAATACACTTTCCTGATAAAAATATACAAATGTAAAATCCAATAATAAAAAAAAGATACAACAATAGGAATGTATACATAAACAAAAACTATATTATAAATGCAATAAAATGAATACAAAATCGAATACTTCAAAGATAATAAGGTACAGCCAATCATTATTTGGTTACTACCTTAAAATATCTTTGTGTCAAATATGATAAATAAATTATCACAGGTATAGAACAATAAATTATATAGCATAACCATAATCCTGGTTTATAATTCAGATTCTTGAGAACTTTGCCCCAAAGTGTACCCTATAATTATGCAGATATATATTTATTCTTTTTACCATCGATATGAATTTAAAGTACAAGATATTATAAATTAGTTTAAAAAAAAAATAAATATATATATTTATATATTTTACCGATTCGTGTGATAAATTTTTCTTTTTCAATGACCATGTATTTTCTGACCATTTTTCAGCATGTGATTCATCATCAGTTATTATAATATTATCAAAATAAATTTTATCTGAAATAGACCATAATTCAAAACCAACAGCACCCTATAAAAAATAAAATTCTAAATAAATATGGGAAATAATAACATAGAATTTATAAATTTTGTAATCAATATGTAGAAACACGAAGAGTAAAAAAAGTATAAAATGTTCTAAAACAAAAACAAATGATAAAAAACCATAATTTCAGTATCATTAAAGGTAATTAATAATAATATTTACAATTTTAGAACATGGTTAAGTCCCATGAACATATTTTAATATTTAAAAAATATATTAGTGATCAGCTGAAAAACTAAATGAACAAAATTATTTTGCATTAATTGTATAAAACAATAAGCACATAAAAATAGTACTTTAGGCAATTTCATAAAAAATAAAATATTGAAAAACCTTTTAGAATACATAGCATTGTCAGTAGAAAATAAAATATAAATTACAAGTAAAACAAATTAATAATTTTAAGGCATTAAAACATTGACATATTCATTTTCCATTTAAGTTATTGTATAGATTAATAGCAACAAAAAAAGTACACAGAGAAATCTCTATTTGATACATTTCTGAAAAACAGAAACCTTAATTTAGTATACCATTTGAATAATGGAAAATTTCAAATAAGTCACATATCTATTTAGATTTCAAAGTGAAATAAATAATATTACAAATACTTACAATAGGTGAAGACTTAAGTGGAGTTTTATCATAATAGTAATCAGGATTGTGTATGAGCCGAGGAGTCCATTTGCCACGATAGTTTGGATTGTCTATTAATGGCTGCTTCCATTTGCCTTTGTACTTGGGATTTTTCATTAATGGTCTAGACCAAGGTCCACATCCTGAACGATCTTCACATTTTGGATTATTAATCAAAGGCGGTTCCCATTCTCCATCCATATCATTATCCCTAAATTTAAATTTATTATTATATATTAAAATATTATGAGGAGTATTACCAATATTACCAATCGGTAGGTTTAACTGCTGCTGAATCAGGTACATGAGTAGGTTCATTTTCTAACCAATCTTCTGGCATCGAAGAAGATTCATCGGGTATATTTTCAGGTTCACTTTCATCCCAATCTTCTGGTTTAACAGCATTCTCATCAGGGATTTTTGCTCTTTCATCCCAATCTTCAGGCTTTACATCATTTTTATCAACTATTTCTTTTGGTGGATTTATTGGTGGACTAAAATCATCATCAGATAATAAATCCCCTTCATATTGCAACTATGAATAAAAAAAAAAATAAAAAAAAAAATTCTATAATAATAAATAATACAGATAAACGTGAATAACTTACTTCTTGGTCTAGGAAAAATGAATAAGAATTGTCAGGTTTAATGACTAAAGTAAACAAATGAGGCTGATGATCACTGAATATTGTTTCTTCGGTTTTTAATTTCAAACAATGTTTTTCAGTGATTGAATTGTTCTTTGGATTTTTATGTCTTATAATAAAATGTACTTTGGAAGTTGGTCCACATTTATCTGGACCAAACATAATAGAATATGGAGTTTTATCGTTGAACTGAGTTAAATCATTAATAGCAGGACCTTCAGTAAGCAATTTCAAATACGCTCCGCCACAAGTATGAGGCTTTTGGAATGCTACTTCATACTGAATTACTAAAGTTTTTTCACTGTCAAACTTAAATGGCTTATCGAGTTTGGAAGAAATAGCAGCATGACGACTTTCTGATACTAAAACTAGACCTTTATCTCTTTTTAGTGGGAATCTTTCTAATTCTTCAATACTCCATTTACCTAATAACATAAACTATTATTGTACTATAATTTGTAAGAATTAAATTAATCAGTATATTAAAAAAATATAAAATTTTTTGGACTTCTTATTACAAGCCACCAAAAATAAAAAGATATAAAAACTTAGAGCGGTGGTTAAATTATAACATATTAACATACAACAAATAAATAATAAAAATAAACTAAAATCGTAACTAAATAATATTGAACAACCCATAAAGAAAGGAAATAAGTTATTCATAATATTTATTTTATCAAAATATTTTTTATTCTTACATTTTATAACTTACACGGTAAAAATCTAAATATGAATGTAAATAATAAATATATATGAATTCACAATAGAAAAAAAAATGTTAGTTTTGATGAATGAATCATAAGAAATAATAATAATTAATTTTTTTTATACATACATATTCTAGTTCAACCTTTATTTTAGATTCTGAGGCAAGCAAGGAATTTATTATGTAAAATAATTAGTTAAAACTTATCAGCATCAAAGCTAATTTAATTCCTCATTAAATAAATTTGAATATGAAATAAAAATAGATTATTTTGCAATTTTTAAGTCATTTTTCAAATATTAATAAAAAAAAAAACCGAAAATGATGTTACAATTATATTGATTGTAAATATTTTAATGAATAAAATAAATAACTTTTTTATATAACTAGAAATTTTAATTCAAGTTATGTCTATATATAATTTTAATAATTTGAATATAGTTTTAAATGTTAGCATAATTTTTAGACTAGGATATTTTCTGAAAATTACAAAATATATTAATTAATTTAGAGGTTCCTAACCAGGGAACCACGAGATAAAATTTAGGGTGCCGCAAAAATATTTGAAATATATATTTATTTTTAAACGCCTTCATGAAAAATATAGCTCTGTGAGTAATAAAACAGACTATACTTTACTTTATGTCTATAGTATAAAACCTATAGTATAATTAATTAGGTATATACATTATAATTTAACGAATTCATTATTAACACATAATTTTTACATAGTAATACTGCGATGTTCAATCTATTTTAATTTTCATACTGGCTCGATTGCTATCTATTTGATGTGAACTGCTTTAAAGTTATTTACGGTGAAATACTTGTGACTTATCTTTATTGTTTAATAATGCTAAATAAAACCAAAGTTACAAAATATAAATATAAATATACAATATATTAGTATTGCATATTCAGTATAAACTATAGAATATAGGGCATAGGCTATAGGGTGCCTCCAAATTTTTAAAAAATAATAAAGGGTGCTATGAGTCAAAAAAGGTTGGGAACCTCTGAATTGAAACAATATTTTATTATTATTTATAAGTAGTAATAGAATTTTGTATTTAAAATGTTTAAAATCATAATTGTTAAAATGCATTTTAATATTCTGAATTATTCTTTTATTTTTTAATATTTATAATTAAATGTATGCTCTACTCTAGAATTATTTAAGATGAAATGTTCGTATAAATATTTTAAAGAAATGTAGATATTTGAAAAACCTAACAAAATAAGTTAAAGACTAAATAATTATCAGGTTATCGATATAGAAACTAAGCTTTTACTACACTCTATTACTAATTAATGATAACAATTTAACAAATAACAATATTTTAATTAAGATTAATTTACATTATAAATGATATTCAATAAATGATGATGCTCAATAGTTTTACTATTTAAACGATTTAGATGATAACACTAAAACTTAATTGATTTTAAATGCAACAAATTCTAACTATGAGAATTTGAAAAGTAAAAGAAATATGGTAAAATACAGAAATCCTTTATCAAATAAACATTATTTTTACATTCTATTAAAATCAAAGTATGAGTTATTAATAATTAATTGTTTTAATATTTAGTTTAAATACATACAATGATCAGGAAAATATTCAAGTCTATGACGTTTCTATAAAAGCATAACACTTCAAACTAAAATTTAACATGACAAAAATAAATAAAATCTTTATAGAAAATCGGAAACATATAGGTATTAAAATTTAAATAATATATAATAAAAGTACACAAAGAAAATATACATAGTATTTTTTGATGAATTATTCAGAATTTAGAATGATTATTAAAAATAAGCATTTTCATATATTTATTGTATAATTGCTCTAAATTGACGTAAGTATAAAATCCATAGAAAATTTTAATAAAATATTTAATATGAAATTATTTTTTTTTATCCATTTAAGAATCATAATTATGAAATAACGATTATTTTATTTTAAAATAAGTAATTAAAAAAAAAAATCTTATTATCAAATAATTCAAATTATAAAATATATTGAGTATAAATCTATATAAATAGTTTTTAAAATGTCACTAATTTACTACCAATAACATATTTACTCTTATGTAAAAATGCTAATATAAATATATATTTATATTAATCTTTTAGGTGTGGGCATAGAAAAAAATGTATTAAATTATTCATTGTAACAAATGAGTTACTATGAATCATTTACCATCATACTGAGACAATTCTTCATCGACATCCGGTTTTTTTGAATTAGATATGATCCATTTTTTACCCAACAACGAAGAATCGTCAAAATGTTCAGCCAAGTACACGCCTACTTTACTTGGTGATGGGCTGATATAAGGCACTGTTTCAACAGTCACGTCACTCTATTGATAGGCAAATAAAGCACAGGTATATAAATAAAGAAAAATTATATAATTTCTAAGAGAAATTGTAGCTCACCGCTCCTTGGTCTTCACCAAATGCTAAATGTAACAGTAACACTGCCGTGTACACCAGTAGTTTAATTTTTGCCATTGATATCTGCTCTGAGATATAAGATATATAATATATAGATATATATCATAAAAGTAACAAGACTGCAATTTCTTCAGTTGTACTTACCTAGGGTTGAAAACATGCACCAGAATTACAACTGTATGGCCAATATTCCACTAGTATTCTATAATAAACTTAAATGATAATGAGAAAATCTACGTAATACCACGATCCAGTATTTAATAATCTGCAGAGGTTTCGGCAGCAGAAAATGACAAGACAGAAATAATATTAATTCAGTGGACCGGCGTATTAACAGTGTTAGTAACCACCGGATTTGCGATTATAATAATTTATATTTTTGATCGACATTTTTTCATGACTGACATTTTACCGGTTTTACGGTATATACTTGTTCCCAATTGATCTCTGAAATAATTTAACGTTTGATATTTAATTATTAATTAATTAGAGAAGCAAACAATAAAAATAATAATTTAAAAAAAAAATGGTTATGATTTGTTTATTTTATAATTTTTATGTGGTTGTCGATGTTGTCAGCACTGTTTTTGTGACAACATAGGCGTTCCATTAACACACCACGGTTCGGCTGTTTGTCTTTTACGTTTAAACACCATTAAGTACGAATACTATGAATTACGATCATTGCTAAATTAGCCGATTACCGTACGAATAAATAAATTAAGTAAATGACATTTTGTCGTTGTAAACCGATGTAGCCGTTGAATATATTTCTTCCGATACCAGTTGACAGTTGCACGAGACCGCACTATGACGGCAAGCACGGACACATCTGCTGTGCCTTCTACTAAAGTGATTCAGGTAACAAACATCGCTCCACAGGCAACTAAGGATCAAATGCAAACGTTATTTGGATGTATTGGCAAGATCGAAGACATCAGATTGTATCCACAAATACGCGATGTGTCTGTTCCCGTTCAGTCTCGTATATGTTACGTCAAATATTTTGACTCCCTATGCGTGGCTGTTGCACAACATCTAACAAACACAGTATTCATTGATCGTGCTTTGATTGTCACCCCATATCAGTCTTCAGTTGGTGACATACCCGACGAATATAGAGCACTGGACATTGCCAATCAAGCTAATATTGTACCTGGATTATACCCCTCTGATCCCAAGTTGCCAGCTCATGTTGTTAACCAAATTGAAGGTATCCCTCCCAATCAAGTTATTGCAACTAATGATCCAGTTTTGGCATCCAATGGCTTGCCACCATACCCACAGCTGCCAATCACCTATGATGCTAGAAGAATTGAGGAAATTAGGCGTACCTTAGTAGCTATTAATGTGGATGAAAATGTGACTGATGATGAATTAATAAATTTTTTTCAAAAAGCTGGTGATGTCAAATATATCAGGTGGTGCAGTAGAGAAAATGACATCACTCGTTATGCTCTTGTTGAATATTCTGATCAAGCTAGTATTATATCTGGATTAAAACTTAATGGAGTACAATTAGGTTCTCGTGCAGTCCAAGTAACACATGCTACTCAAGCAATTGCTAAACCAATGGCTAAAAGTAATGAAGCAGCTCAAAGAGAAATTGAAGAAGCCATGACACGAGTTAAAGAAGCCCAAAGTTTAATTTCTGCAGCCATTGATCCAGTCATTGGTATTTTATCTAAAGACAAAAAGCATAGTCATTCTCATCGTCGTTCACGATCTAGATCACATGGCCGAAGTCGTCGTAGATCATCATCTAGGTCACGTAGAGGACATTCACGTTCTCGAAGAAGACGATCAAGATCACGTTCTAGACGTCGTTCTAGGTCAAGGAAAAGATATAGGAGTAGGGATAGACGTTCTAGAGATAGAAAAAGATCACGATCCAGGAAAAAATCAAGATCTAGGGACAGAAAACGTAAAACGTCTAGAGATAAACGAAGATCAAGGTCTAAATCTAGACGTCGCTCAAGATCCAGAAGTCATAAAAAAGATAAAAAATATTCTTCTAAAAGAAAAGAAGAAAAATCTGATAAACGTAAAGATAAAGATAAAAAAAAAGATAATACTCCATCTATAATACCTGAAGTTGAAAAAAAAAATAAATCTGCTACACCTGATAAAGAAAAATCTAGGTCAGCTACTCCACCAAGAAGTAATTCTAGAAGTCCAAGATCATCTAGTAAATCACCTAGAAGAAGTAGTTCGTCTGGTAGAGGAAAAACTTCTGAACCAATAAAGAGCCGTTCGTCTAGTCATATTAGACGAACGTTGTCTCCAAAAAGATCTAGAACAAGAACTCCGGCTCATAAACGTGTTAGCAGGTCACCTCGTAGAAGTCGAACACCTAAAAAACGTAGTAGGAAATCAAATTCATCACCAAGACGTACAAGAAAACATAGTGCTAGTCGTCATAAATCACGAACACCCACTGAAAAAAGACACAGGCGGACACGTTCACCCATACGAAGATCTCCATCCCCAAGATCACCTCCCGCTAGAAGAGTCACTAGAACACCGCCATCTAGAAGTCCACAATCTCCTGCTAGATCTGTATCCAGATCACCAGTTAGAAGTAAGAGAAGTACTTCTGACAGTAGAAAAAGAAGTGAGTCAGCGAGCAGAAAAAGGAGTTTGTCAGTAGACAGAAGTAGAAGAAGTATGTCAATTGATCATAAATCACGATCCGAAAGTAAAAGTAGAAGCCATACACCAGGATCAGCTAGAAGTAGATCGCCTGAATCTGCATCACCACCAGCTACTAGACGAAGCACTTCTTATACTCCATAAATTTAAAAAAAAAATTTCTTTTTCAATTATCATTCTGTACTTGTAAACATGTATACAATGTATTTTGATTATTTAATTACATTAACCTTAAATCATGATTGATGCTTTAATTTACCATACAGTATATATATATATATATATATAGAGGTACCTGTATACATTATGTATTTATATATCTAAATAATCGATTGGTATTTAATTTCTTATTATTATTCCAAAAAAAGTTTTAAATCCAATTGGCTAGTATTCTATACATTTTTGTATTGTGCAACCTTAGCTGTTCAATTATATTACTAGTTTAAACAATTTAATTTAAGTTTCATTAACCCAATTCATTTGTTGAGATTTTTGTGTATTCACTAGCTTTATTGTACTGTATGATCATTATTTCATTAATAATTCTTCTACCAAATTGTACTGAAATTTGAATTGTGAAATATTGGAAGATTTTGAAGTACACAAAGTAAAATTTTCAAATTTTAGCTTTTAGTGCATGTATTTTGAATTATCAATAGGTCCGAAATCCAAAATGTAAAGAATAACATTTATTTCAAATTTGAACAAGTAAAAACAATAATGCAATATGTTAAATTCAATGATATGTAAAAATTAAAAAAAAATTCTTGAGAATATAGATAGAATTGAACCCATAGCCCGGGAAAATATCCACTCGGTTATGTGCTTAAAAATTATTGTAATTAATAATCATAGAAAACTTAAAAAAAAAAAAACCACAAATTCAAAAATGTTATAACTCAAAAACTAATGTTTTGCACCATTGTTATTAAAACATGAAATAAATTTTACCAAAAAAAAAAAGATCAAAAATTCTTGGTATAGTTAAAGTAAATTTATGCCTTCAACTGCATCATAAAATTTTTTATGTAGTTTTATTTTTTCTGCATAAACTTATGATGTTTTATCATAGAACTAATGACTTTATTTCTAATTAATTGAATGTATGATACCAAATTAATTTATAAATTCAAAATATTAACTCTAAACAAAAAAGATTATTTCATAAAGTCTTCATACCAGTATTATTCAAATTCAACTATAATTGAAAAAATAACAAGCAATTATCTATTCATTTATTACACATCTTCAAAAAATGGTATTTCATGTATAAATTTGGTATCATCAATATTGCTCATGTTAAATTAACTTAAAATAAATAATTATAATTATTATTTATTAATTATTAACTAGATACATATTGTATAAAATTAACATAAAAATTACAATTATAATGTTAAACTTCAGTTTGATTTAGAGCAATTTCTAAAGCATTATTCACTTTTTTAATTATTATGTTAATAGCTTCGAAAAAAATTGAACTTGGTTCCATTGCTCCAATTGATTCAATTGTAACTAAAAATAAATAAAAACAGTATATAATTAATGATTACAAATAAATATAAATGATAGTAGTTCATATCAACAAACTGATATAATTCTTATACTATTTTATATATAATACATTTAATTCTACAAAATATAAATTTATTTATTTAATAATTATGAATTCATTTTTATTTTTAAGTTTTTCAACGGTGTTAAGACAACTTTAAAATTCATTTTTATTTAAATAAATTTTATACATTTACTATAATCTTCAAATATATATTTTATATATATAAAAATCCCATATTTGACTGTTTGTCCTCAATAGACTCCCAAAATACTCAACAGATTTTGATTGTATTCCATGAGTGAATGAGTTATATTGTCTAAACTATATTATTGGATTATTTATTTATTTCATATTTATTTGTTGTGTATACAGTAAATGACAATCATGAAATATTATTTGAGCTCCCCAACTATAACTTATAGCACTTGTCGGACAGGGCCACGGTCACTGAGACTACAAATAATAGGTGTTTTGCATGCTATGTTAGTATCTAACATTGCATTCATTTGGTCTGGTAGTTGTATACGTTTCACTTTTGGTGTTACACCCTCTTAATGACCTCAATAATTTTTTATTGCAAATTAAATATTTATTACAGGATAAAAAGTTGTAATTATCAATAACTGTAATTGATATTCTGTATGTACTTTAATATAGATTTCACAGTTATCGCATATTTTTCAATTTCTGTACCTACATTTTATATATACATTTAACTACTACATAGTTAATTTACTTCAAATATTAAAACCAATGAAAAAATATAAACATTTTATCTCCCCCCCCCCCTCCTATACTGTTTAATTACATTTAGATATTCAAGAAAATAATTATGTACAATTATTGACCAATAAAAATAATAAAGGAGTTAAAATATAATGAACTTCATAATAGAATATATTGAATTAAGTACAAAATCGGATCTCATATGGGTTTTATTCAATGACCTAGGATTTAGTTAAATCGTCTTTTTGCTGTTTAGAACAATTTAAAAATTATTGTTATTTTACTAGTTTACTTACATATAAAATGATCAGGAATTTTGGATAGTAAAATTTTATTGTCAAATTGTTTATATCGAAAAACGTTTCTAGAACTGTTCTCTTTTCGACAATCTTCAACATGTGCAACAAGAACTCCTGAAAATAATCATTAAATAATTTTAAAAGAAAATTTAAATTGAAAATAAGTATTCAACATATTCAACAATAACATACCTTTATAAGATTTCAATCCAATAACACCTTTAGGAAAGCATGATTGTAGTAATAATGCATCATTTCCTTTTATGTCATCAAGTAATTTAATATTTGGCATCATTCTGTACCAAGCTGTGCCTAAAATTTGCAAAACACAAAAAAAAAAAAAGTGTGTAACTATCCAAATTTTTGATTAGGTAATATCAGTTTTTTCTCTAAAAATACTACAGTGAAACATAAACTAGATACTTAAAGATACTAGATACTATAAAGTTATAATAATAGTGTTGACTGTGATTATTAAATTAATTAAATTAAAGGTTATTTGCTAATATGAAATTTATTTTATTGAAAAAATTGATAAATACATCTCACTAATGTTATGGTTTATTTTTTTAGATAATTTAGGTATGAATGATAAACATTTTGTTATAATATCTTAATTAAACATTTGGAAGATTTTCTTTGATAAGATTTCAATTATTTATTTTTTAATTGTTGAGTTACATTTTTATTAAAAAATATTTCACATAATTAACACTTACAAACACTTTGAAATTTGGCATGGTCTTTTGGTATTCCTTTGACTGCATACATTTTAAGCTCAATTTCTTGTCCTGGTCTTAATTTGGCAATTAGAATATCATCATTGATCATGCCAACACTTTTTTCCGTAAAAATATCTTTTTGATTACCCAAAGGAGACCATTTTATATGTTTTGAGTAAACTATGAATGTAAGTTGTTCATCATTAATATAAATTAAAATATTACTTAAAAACAAAATCATACCTGGAAAACTTATATATTGTTTATGTGCTAATGCGTCTAAATCTTTTTTTGTACATTTAATTTTCATGTCATAAACTAGACTGTCATGTTCATTAGGTTCAGAATTTTCTGAAAAAATATTAAAACTTTTATACTATACAACTATATTAATTAAATATAATTCTAGAATTTAATTTAAACTTACCATCTTCTTTCATTTTAAACTGTCTAGGATCGGCTTTTAATGGAATTAAGCCCAATCTATGAGCAAGTATTTCATCAAGCACATAAGAAGTATTCTGATATATATGAACTTTTTCAATTGCCATACTGGGCACCTAAAAATAACATAAAACAGTTTCATGCAGTTATTTATTTTAAATCAAAAGTCTCATAATTAGGAATCTTTAAGAAATCATAAGATTTTCTGAGATGCTGAAATTTGTTTTTTTATTGGAAAATAGTAAAAAAATAAAATGTTAATGAAAATACCAAGCAAGACAGCAATATTATTCAATCTATCTAAGGCATAGGACACATGAACTGGACATACAACTGAAATTCAACACATCTTAATTTTTTCATCAAGTATAGAACTATTTTCTTTTTTCATTCAATCTCTCGTTTTATAACCTAAATTTAGTAAAAATAATTTCTTCCTCCTCAAACAAATTATCTCTTAACAATTCTTCTCTTAACACTACATACAACTAAGACCATTTACAATATACTTCACTTTTTCTTTTTTGTACTTTTTGAATCTAGCAATATAAAATTTTCTTGGCTTTAATAATCTTTTGCAACTTTACTTTTAATGTCTATTCCATTCTCTCTTTATTTTCCACTATTCTTATTATTTTAATAATTTCCTTTTCCAATCAACTAGATTTATTTTTTTAATTAATTTTGTCTATTAACTATATATAATTAATTACAAAAAAAAGACATATTTTATATAAAATTACCAACCTCAGATATGATAACTCTTCTTAAACTATTAGCTAAAGCTACATCAACACCTATGAGATCAAACTCCATATCAGTTTCTGAAAGATTGATTATGTTTACCTTGAAATTCTATAAAATAATATTTAAAGTTTAGATTATTTATGTATATAATACGGTATTCAGACAATTGACATCCAGAGGTTTTGTCGATATCGGACTTTCTGCACCCAATATTTTAAGAACACGAACAATTGACACCGAGCGATTGCAATAACTGCGAGTAGGTACCTACTACTATTGATTAAATAAACATTTATATATTTAATCAATGCTACTACCTAGTCTATAGCTATTAGTTGCCTGTACTTTGTAGTCTGTAGGTTTAATTTAAAAGTTATTCATTCAATATGAACTCAGATTTAAGAGATGAAATTGAAATAATTAATAATAAATTAATTATTAAAAATCACATTTATATTTTTCAAAAATAAATGGTTGATAGACTTTATAAATAATGAAAAGCTTAAAAATATGTGTAAAACTTCTTGCTTCAACACAAATACTGAAATTATTAGTTTTTTAAAAAACATATCATATGATCATATGAAATTAAACATTAAATTTGAATATAATTTATAATGTAAATATAAAATGTATTTATATATGTAATATGATTATTAATTATTATACTGTATTTTATTATATGCATTTATATTCGGTGTCAAATGTCCTAAATTCATATAATACTATGTATATACAGAATTAGATTACTCACTTTTACAAATTCATCATAGTTATAAGGTTTAACCTCGTTGCCTAAAGTCTACAAAAAATATAATCAAAAATTAAATTTCATAGGTCAATATAAATACAATATAAATTGCAGTATTTCATAACTAAATAACAAAATATTAAGACTCACCCTTTCAATGGAATACTTATTCATAATTATTGGATTATTCATTTTTAATCGAATAATACAATAAACATAAGTGTACACTATGTATAAATTATAATTTAACTCTAATCACGATCTACCGGTTCATTGGAACTTATTCAAACCATGCGTCAAGAACAGAACGTTGTTATCATTATGAATAGTATTATTTATTATGACCACGAACATATAACTAATAAGGACTGGTCACTTGATAAGCAATGTGAATTCTTCCTGTCACATCATTAAATAAAATCGCCACTGAGCGCTAGTAGTAGGTTCGCCCTTTCGTTTTGATTATAAAGCCAATGCGAATTGACTAAAAAATATAAAATATTCAAAGTTAAGAACCAGTCACTTTTTCAACTTAAAGTCACTTATTTTTAGTGTTGTTACCAAAAGTAATTATTTATATATTAAAGCACTTAAAGTCAATTTTTAAAATTATTATTACCTATTTAATATAATTATTATTATTAACAACCAGCTGCAGCTAACTTGCAAACAAATGTTTGACAGAATTGAGTGAATTGTGATTACTGATTATTTGAATACTTAAAGGAGTATAATATGTCAGTTATGTTATAACTATTAGTTGTTTATGGAAAGATCTCTGTTTTTCCTTTTTTCAACCGTATACTTATATAATTTTATTTCATTCATTTATGTTCCAAATGATTTACTTAACATGAGCATGTTTCTTCACTATATTTTATTTTTTTAAATGTTTATGGAAGTTATAGAAAGATCTCTGTAATGTAACATTATTTTTGTGTGATTTTCTATGGTAGTATTGGTTAAAATAATTTATAGTCAACGAGAAAAACTAAAAGACTGCCACTGGTCAAAATAATTAAGTATTTCAAGTACCTAGGTATATTGTTATATATTGTATTATTGCTTTAAAGTTAAATTAAAAGTGCAAGATTTCTATTTAATCAATTAGTCACTATTTTCAGAATACAATTTCAACAATACAGAAATTATTATATTTATAATTTATATAATACAGAATTTATAACAAATATTTTAGTGGATAATATAGGCACATAGGTGGGGTTCTCTAAAGAATAGATGGTATTTCAGTAACACATTTGCTTTATTGACTAGTCACGATAAAGCATCAAATGTTTCATTAATTTTTAACAAAATTCTTCTGTTGTAGAAGAATCTTTCAGTTGAGAGCAATATGGACGATAGAACTTCAAGGCCTTTGCCATTGAATTACTAAGAACCTATATCATAAATAATATTAATAATAATAAGTATAAATAATAGTATAGTCTTGAGCTCCCTAGTCAAGAGTATAAACAACGAGGTTACCTGTACAGCCAACCTAACTCTCATTTTGGCTGAACTATTCAGAGTCAAATGGGAAGCTGAAATTTTTGGACAAACTCTTAATTCTCCATTATTCAGCTTATCTTGATCATAAACAATTTGAAAATGGTTCCATTTAATTAATGGTTCATTTTGAGAAATCTAATATATAGTACATAATATATGATTTATTATAATATATATATATAAACATAACTATATATTGTTAAAGTATTTCAATAACCTTAAGTTCTTTCTTATTATAAAGTCTATTCCTGATGTTCTTAAATAAATGAGGTGTATCTGAGAAGATAAAAATTTTTCGATTGGAATCAATTGGGTGTTCAAACCAATTTTTCACTTCATTATATTTTCCACTTTTGCCCATTTCAGTCCAAAATTTCTGGTTTGGTGCAGCTCCATCGCATACTATTCCATGTATGAAAGCTCCAGCATTCTTAAGCAGAGTTATTGCTTTTAGTATCAATTGAGCGATGACCAAACCTTTTGTTGGACCTTTTGATACAAATACCGCAACTGGTTGTTCATAATTATCAGCTAGGGGCACAAACATAAACACAAGTCCATGCTTAGCCTTGTCATTAAATGATTTTCCACTATCACCATCTTCACCAAAATCAATGAGTCCTATAAAATTTTAAAATATGAATGCAAAAAATAAAAACATAAACACTTAATATAAAAACTAAATTTATTTTCATGTACCAGTATAGGTAAGGTTTTTAGAATTTACAGATACGCTTTCGCGGGTAGACATTTCATCAAAAATTAAAATTCTGTGACGCTTCAAAGTATCCTTCTGAGCAAGGTGAAGAGCAAATAGTTCCAAAAACTTAGGATCAAAACCACATTTAGTGTCAACACATGAAAGGTGTCCGAAAATAATACAAGTATTATAGAATATAAAAATAAAAAATTGAAACCATAGACCCGATAAGAAAGTTTCGGATTTGAATTAATTACCTTCGTATTGTTCTTACACAAGGAAGTGGTAAAATGTCATTATTTAATAAAAATGTATATCCACAAGGAGACTGTATGTGGAACAACATACATAATAAACTCCAATTTCCAGAGTATCTTAGACCTTTTTTATTTTTAACATTTGAAGCAGAAATAATTTTGGTTTAGGAAATACGCTGATTAAATGGTACATTTTTGTCTAATCTATATTCAAGGTTTATTGAAGAGAGTGCTGACATTTTGTCGTGTAGATAAGAAATATAATTTTTTAGTTTTTTGTTCAGTGTTTCAGCTCAAATTTTCTTCTGCCTGACTAATTTATACTTCATTTGTAATCGTTTTATTTGTGATTGTTTTCTTCGACTAAGGGTAGTATTAATTCTTTCAGAAGTTGTTTTGGTATTTTTGGATTTAAACTTCGCATAGAACATGTACAGTACTGGCATATATCTTTTTCTTCTAAAATAAATTTGCACATAACGTGTCGAAGATTTCCAACTGGATCAATATAAGAGTTTTGGGACTTCATTTTGTGTGTTAGGTTTGTTGTTATCAAAACATTCAATGTATTCAGGCAGATCTATAATTTCATTTGATGGATTTAAAGTATCAACAGTTATTAATTTCCTTTTTATTGGACTGTTTCGTAGTGTAGGTGCTTTTCTTAGTTTCAGTTGTTTAGTCAGATATTTTGGACAGTTTGGAAAAATACAAGGGACTGCTTCTTTGTGTAGTCTAGGTATTTTATACAATCCCTACAACAAACAAAAATGTAAGATAATGAATAGGGTCTTCAGCTACTAAAAAATGTCTATATATATATGTGCGTGTGTGTAGCAGTGGCGCAACCAGGGGTGGACTCCAGGTCTGGACCCCCCCTCCTCTTGGCATGTATAATAGTAAATTAATATCATATTTTAGATATATATATATATATTATAAATTAAGATGATTTATTTTGTCAGACACCCTCATGAAAATTTCCTGATTGCGCTACTGGTGTGTAGTAAAAACTTTCCATAATGTCACGTCCTGCATAGTCACACAATAAAATACAACACGGGGAGAGTCGCGTCCTGTGTATTCACACAATAAGACAATAACCGGGGATGAGATTATTGTACTCATGTGGTTATTACACTAGAGATTATAATAAGAAATTAGAATATCGAAATCACAAGCGTGGACAAATGAAAGGGTTCACATAAACGTTCTTATGGGAAATTAAAATAAATAGCTAATCAAAAACCACATCCTGGGCATTTGTCAATAATTATGTCACGGTCCGGAGATAACGCACACACACACACTCATAATTAATAGGAAATTATCTTATTTTATTATCGTTCTCATTTACGCACACACACTTGAGATTTACACACACACATACAGATACCAGATATAAAACGGACCCGGAAACAAGGGCAAATCAGACGAGTTTTGGCTATGCTGCACTGAACACCTTCACGTCAGTGTATGTTATGGTCTGAACTTAGAAATATTTCTATCATTTTTATAAGTTACAATTGTTAGGACTTAGATAATTTCTACCAAGAATATTTACAAAATTGTAGTTAAGATAATTTTACGAGTTAAATAAATTTAATTATTTTAAAAAAGTCTTAATTATTCCTGACTACACTTCCAATCAAGCGTTGACTGAAACGTTGAACTGAATTAACGGATCAAACGGTTGGCACGTAACAATAAATATTATATATTAAAAAAGTTTTTAGTAGTTGGTCTTTGTTACAAGCTGTACCACCATTACCATAATCTTGTAATACATAACTATTATAACTAACTGTTATGAAAAAATAATTCAATCAATAACTGAATCCCATTTCTAAATTTATTCATAAAAATAAAATATATTAAGATACTTATTAATTATTCATCTCAGTAAGGACTTTGCCACTAGTATCAGTCATAATTTTTTTCCTTATTATGTCAGCTTCTCGAAAATGCAACTCACAAACTACTTGTTTGGGTTTTATTATAAAATCCTTTCTGGGTATAGCTTTTGTCCATTGGGCAAGTCTAGTATCATCTTTAGGGACCGTAAAAAAATGATATTTGTCAACGTAAGAATCATATCCCGATGTGCATGCAGGAACAATACACCGATGCTCAGGCATGTTGATTGTTGGGTAAAGACGTAAAGTGGTATAGCAATAAAAAGAAAAAAACACGTGAGAAGTAAACAATGAACCTGAAAATCTAAAATAATAAAAATTTAAAACATTAAATTATTGAACAATGAATTAGTCGCATATATAATTGTCTATGATCGGTCCGATCATAGACAATTATATATATGCATTCTATTCCCGTGGTTTGTGAGTCGTATTTCCATTGATATTTGAGAGCTCGTTAGGCGAACGCACAACTAGCGCTTCAGCGGTCATTATTGTTGTCAGGCAACACTTAGAAGACTATCTATCCACAGAGTATATTAAGTCTATCTGTCTCTCTTCTAAGACCATGGTAAATGGTAACGTCACCAACATCCAAGATAACTCTCATATTATGATAAAGATAAACGTACAATTGATATCATACCCAATCAATAATCATCATTGAATAATTTACTTATCATATTCACAGTTTTATGTGTCTATGATCGTATTGTTCTGAAAGGAGTGAACTATTGACTAGTGATTACTGGGTATTGAGTAGTGAATATTGAATGCTGAGTACTAACTGACTGCTTCTATATTATTGTAAGTTGTAATTTTAATTGCCATAATAATGTTTAAAAACATTTTCTCAAAGAAAACTTGCTCTTGACTAATTAAAACCATTAAATATTTGTATATACATTTCTTTAAATAGGTAATATTATTCTAGTGAAACATAATGACGAAAGTTTCTTTTTCAACATTGGCGTATTGTAAGATGGTCGCACATGCTGCCAAATATCCTCACTGTGAGGTAAATGGCCTGTTAATCGCTGATACACTTAATAAAGGTGATAAGTTGGTAATTGTTGATACTGTTCCATTATTCCATCAATGTCTCCATGTTTCACCGATGTCTGAGATTGCTTTGATGCAAATTGATCAATCAGCTAGTACATGCAACATGTACATTGCTGGTTACTATTTAGCCAATGAGACATTAGACGATTTAAGGTAAACGTATAAGTTTTAATATTCTCATTGATTATGTTAGTGGTAAAATAATTAACTTCCTTTTCTTTTTCTCCCAACCATTTGGCCACATAATAATTTATAAAATCTACAATAACTTAGGTAATTAGTTAAGAATTTCTTCAATGAATGTATGTACTAAAAAGTGGTATGAATATAAATAAGCTTGAAATATTAACATTGATTTCTTTACAATTTTTAAATCAACAAAAAATAATAATAAAACATTTATTTTAATTTTTTATTCCTAAAGTTTGTATTTTGGTACCCAAATCATACAAATTTGATTAAATTAAAAAAATATATATTTTCCCTATATTCATAAACAAGCAGTATACTTATTATACTTATTTTAGTTATTCAGTTTCATCACTATCCAATTTTAGCTTATAAATATGTAATATTATATATAATTATGATTATAGTTATGATAAACCCGCTCATAAAATTATGGACAAGATAGCTGAACATGAGACAGATGTCTGTATGGTTGTGGTTAGTTTATTAAAAAAAAAAATAAAATATTTTTTTCATGATAGATATTTAAATTACATTTTTTAGATCAACAATCGACTTATGGAATTAAATCAAAAAGAAAGTGCTTTAATAGTACACACACAAGATGATGGAAAATGGAAAAGTTTAAACAACTCCAAGTATGATAAGTGATATGAAAATTTTAAAATAAAATGTTTAAACTAATTATTTTTTTATATTAACTATTTAGTATCCAAATAGAAAATGTTACTTTAGCTGCGGCATCTGCTGTATTACAACAACAGTTATACAATAATTTGATAGATTTTGACAATCATTTGGATAATTTATCATTAGATTGGCTTAATACAGAATTTTCCAATTGGGTGGAAAAAACATCTGGACACGACACTGGACGAAGATTGGTGATTAATAAATCAGTTTCTTGACAATTGGATTGGGATGAAGGGATGAAACAAATAAAATTCTGATATATTTATTTTTGATTGAGTATTTAGAAATTTAATTTTATCGTTAATCTATGATAATTAGTGTTCAATTGATTGTTTATTATTTAAAATGGAAATTATACAAATTTTACTGTCTTAAAATCTTCTAATTATAGAATAATATTTTAACAATTATTTCAATTACAAATTTATTTATTAATTTAATTATCTATGTAAGTAAATTACTATACAATTTTTGGAATATTTTTTTTTTATTTTTCTAAAAATTGTGTTTTGATTAAGCTGCTTGTAATTTTTTTTATTATTTAATATGGGATTATAAAATAATTTGTTTATTACAATTTATCTATATAATTTTTTATTATATTTATTTTAAAATGTTATAGTTAGTATAAATGTATTGCACATAGTTACATATTTGAAATAATATAATTTATGTTCTTTTCAGTATTAGAAGATATCATATTTATGATCTAACTTATCAACCATAAAATATTAAATTATTATTTCTTCACATTATTACTTAACATGTGATCCTAATTCCAACTACAAACGTATATTTTTTAACAATGCATATAATATAGTAACCAGTATAAAAGAGTACAACATTGGTACTAAAACATTTCATGTATGCAATTTATCAGCTTTATAAGAACTATATGTAATATTAATAATTCTTATTAAGGAAATAATATTTAAATTTGGTATTAATATATTATATATTAAAGTTATTTTTAATTAAATACTTTTTACAATACGTAGACTATTAAAAATTATATGAAAAATTTTGCATTCATGTATAATGAATGAAGAATCATGTTTTAAGTAAATCAGTAAAAAATCTTTTGATATAAAAGTAAGATATGGGAAAAATAAATTCTATGCTAATGAAAACTGGTGCAGATCATTAGTTTTGTAGTTACTGCAATTAAAATTTTATTTAAATAGCCTATATTTATTCTGTTTGAGCCTGAAATAGGCAGGTGATTTATTTGTGCAGTTCTCGCGATTTGTGGAATCTGGGATATGATTGCATAACATTAAATAATTTAAATATTATATATTCAAATGCAAAGTTATGTTCTCGATTTTTAAGGAATCTTGGTATTACTTTCACAAGTGAGATATTTTATACATTTTAAAAATATCTGCCTCACCGCTCGTTCGATCCACGAGCCGCCACTGGTATGATTAGGGACGTTGCGATACTACAGATACCATGGTTTTGATACTTTACTCATATCGATAAAAAAAAGTATTGCCATTGAATCATTTATCGCCATATCGGTTCAAAAGTACTCGAATGGCATCGAACAATATTTCTTTCGAGTCAAATAGTTTGTGTGTGGTGGGGAATTTCACAAATTACACAATATGATTATATATAGATAAATAGTGTAACCTCCTTACATTACACGAGAGTCTAACATTTGATGTATCGACTGATACGATGAACGAAAAAAGTTTCCTTTGTGTGACATTACGCTACCTCAAGGATATTTCTCTTAAATCACATTGTTAAGCGATTGGTTATTTACAAAATTATTTCAGAAGGGAGGACGGCTGATTAGAAGTATTTTAAAAGTAAGGAGTAAAATTGCACATCCTCACCTCCCGAAATGACGAATCTGTATAGTAATATAATAGATCAAATATATTTCAGTCAGGAGGGGCCCAGGCCTCTTGGCTCCCTACGTGGATCTTCCATTACCTTAAAGATGAACTTATCAGTAACCCGTGAGACACTTCATTCCTTAAACACCCTATAAATAATAAATACTCTATCATGTTCAGGGGCGTATTTATCCTTACTTCTAAGGGGGGCGACTCAAATTTTTTCTTTAATTCAGGCTCAAAATGTTCAAGTCAAATTTTGGTAATATTTAAATTGGGCGAATCCTTAATATTTATGTTTTTTTTTTTTTAATCTAATGTCGGATCCACTTAGAATCGATTTTTGTATAGTTTTTTTTTTAACACCTGTCAGTGTTTTGAAAGATACACTTGTGTTTTATTTGATTTTCCACTAAGTATAGACCCGACAAAAAACCCAATTCAGTATTCACAGTCACGCGTAATTTGATTCATTATAAAATGATCCACATTAAAAAAAATTGTAATGTGTATCTCACATATTCATATAATTGATTTCTTAAATATTTATTAAAGGGGCTATCGCCCCTTTCACCCCCCTAAAATACGCCCCTGATCACATCCAGGGGTGGGATGAAGGTGTCATATCCCCCCATGAACTTTTTTTTTATGCATGTATTTGTAGTTCTTCAGTAGTTTTAGTTTACTCAGATACAAAAAGAAGTGTGTAGTTAGATTAAATTTTTTAGTCTTGTTAAATATTATCATACATAATATGAATTATGTATAATTATGTTTACAGCACGGTTTGTAGATAGAACCCGTAAAAGTAATAATGGACGGTCGCAGTTCTATCTAAAGTCATGAGTGACTGAACCAAAAATATTTTTAAACCATAGATATTTATGTTGAAAACATGATCCTCGATAAGACACTATAATATATCTTTTAAAGGGAAGTATACCCAGAATGCCCCTTTTCATCCTAATTATAATCACATGGAAGGGAGTAGAGGAGAGCTCAGTGGCGTATTTACGGGGGGAGGGGTCCAAGGGTACTGGACCCCCCCAGAACTTATCCAAAAAATAAAAAATAAACTAAAATTCTTACACATTTGCAGAATTGGCTATGTTAAACATTCACAGGGAAGTTGAAATTACTGTTAATGAAGTGATAGAGGAGTTGGCCAAAAAATCGAGACAACTGGAATTTATTTTACAATAACACCTACTTTATAATATATAATGCTAAATACAATATATAGGTACATATGTATAATATTACATAAGACTATACGATTATTACATTATATATTTAGTTCAACTTCCTCCAAAAACTACATAAGGACGTAACTATTACAATATAATATATAGTTTGTATTAATAAAATTAATTTATATTATTTATATTATAAACTGTAGACCCCCCAGAAAAAATTGAAAATACGCCACTGGGAGAGCTCTATATCATATAACTGTACATTAAGAAATGTGTAGTACGAATTTTTATGAAAAATATGGGCTGGAAGAGAGTAGTCTAAAAATATAATGATTTTTACTTTGTGCATAAGTATCCATAAAGAATCAGGGGCGTATTTAAACTTACTTCTAGTGGGGGACGACTCAAATTTTTTCTTTAATTCAGGTTCAAAATTTATAAGTAAAATTTTTGGTAATATTTATATCAGGTGAATCCTTAATATTTGTGGGTTTTTTTTTTTTTTTTTTAATCTAATATCGAATCCACTTAGAATGGTCTTTTGTTTAGTTCTATTTTAACACCTATCTGTGTTTTGAAAGTTTCGCTTATGTTTTATCTAATTTTTCACTAAGTATGGACTGGGTTTTCAATCAAAATAATATATATTATATACCGTTATTGACAGTTAAAACATTATGAAAAATTAAGCGTTTTGCGTTAATTAAATTAGTGTAAAATTTGAAACGTTTTCAATTGTAGTAATACTATAAAATAAATCATAATTTTTGTTTCTTAATAAAATACCCATTACTTATATAAAAATTGTCTTGGTCTAAGAATTCTAGGGGAGGGGGATTGCCTCCACCGCCATTCCACGAAAATCCGATATATCGATAATATCAATGTTTAATATGTCGATGTATCGATAATTCGGAGTTTAAAAAATGTTGCCCATTTTTACAGTACAATATTGATTAAAAAATATACAAATATATATTTAATTAATGCTCATAGTTTGTGGTACAAATTACAGAACATATAATTTGAGAAACACATTTGTTTAATTTATTTGAGTCTTATCGTTGTATCATATTTTTTGTTATGATATTATTTTGATGGTTTCTGTATCACAATATCATTATTCCCGCCACTATTGTTAAAGAAAAATCTTCTATCTTATTAAGGTTAGGTCCGTAATATTAAAATATATATTTAAAGGAAACTGCGGAACTAACCATTTTATAATTTCATATTTATTTAATAGAATCACTTTATTTTTATAATCAAGTGAAAGGGTAAGAATTATTAATGATAAGTATTTATCCCCTAATATGTTTTTATAAACATTTGTGTTAATTTTAATTTTTATTTTATTTAAAAAAAAAATTATTTTGATTTTATTTCAGTTTAAACACATATTTTGATTCGGCGATTTTTTATTGTGTTCTCATTTCTAAGTATTATTGATAGTTCTATTGGAATCACTAAATGTGTAGTAAGGCATTGGCAATGGACGATTCTGAGAATTTCAAAATTCTTGTTGCAACAGATATACATTTAGGTTTTGAAGAAAAAAATTTAATTAGAGGTAAAAAATTATGGAGTTATTCCTTTATTAGAATAATAATAATAATAATAACAATGGCTATTGAAAAGAATTCACAATATTTGATAACACTATATTTATGCTTATATATTAATAATATTTAGGTGTATATAGGTAGTAAAATCAACCTTATTTAGAAAGTTGCAATTTATATCAGCAGTTCTTAACCTTTTATAGATCACGTACCCCTGATAAAAGATTTTTAGAAATTACGGACTCCCTTTCTAATTTATTTTTCGCATACATTTTTTTTTACAAAACATACAAATTTATAATTATTTTTATTTCACTTAATTTTTTAGTTGACTTAAATTTAATTATTTTAGTTTTAATTTATTTTTTTTAGTATTCTTAAAATTTAATTTTTATTACCTTAATGCGATGGTTGAGACATAAGTTTTATAACATCCTATAATGATAAAATTTATCTATTATATAATAAAAAATATATGAAAAAAATTAATAATATTAATCCAACAATATTATAATAATGTACTCATGTCGTGCATTGATGAATGTTATGTGTTAGGGCTGCTGTGGACCTCCAACATGAGTGTCGCAGACCCCTAGAGGGCTGCGGACCACAGATTAAGAACCTCTGATTTATATTAAAATTATTAAATTAAGAGTCATTAATTATACTTGGCTTTGATGTTTTGTAAAATCATAGCTGTACAACTGCATATTAAAATTTCACTGTTATTACTTATATGGAATTAATTTTTTTTTCAATATTTTATATTTGTCATACAAATAAGTTATAGTATTTAGTATTATATTATACATTATTATATTATTATTATATAGTCCAATATTAAAAATAGCAATAATATAAAATATTTTATGTTTTTGCCTTAGCTGATGATACATTCAATACATTTGAAGAGGTATTACAGTTAGCAGTTAAACATAATGTTGATTTTATCTTGTTAGCTGGTGATTTATTTCATGTTAACCAACCTTCAGTAACATGTATAGAACGATGTATTTCACTGCTACGTACTTATTGTTTGGGTGACAAGTAAGTATTATAAAAATACTCAAACTATAAAAGTTACCTCCTTTAGATGATTTATACAATATTAAACAATTATATTTTTAAAATAATTATTTAGTATCAAACTGTATGCTAAATGAATTTAAAAACAATAAGTTATAGAATACAACTATTAACTATTAAGTATAAAATAATTTACCATGCACGAGTGATAATGAGAAATTATGGTTATAAAAATTATATTCAAGTCTATTCAATGTTTCTAATATGAGATACTTGATTTCAAATAACTCACTTATTATAGTAATTATTAGGGCTAGGAATTGTATGCATTTGCATATTTTTATACATTAAATTAAAAGAGAAGATTATAGAAAAAGGTAACAAGACAGAAATTTAAATCTTAGTCTTACGTGTTGGTATGCTAAATTAAATTTGGCTTATTTTTTGCATATTTGGAACATTTCAAATTATTATTCATATTTTAGGATTTTCTGAAATATAATCTATATATAGAAAAAAAATATTACGAAGTTATTAATATTATTATTTATTACTTGATGCATGTCCATCATAAATTCCATGAATCGTGCAGTTATATAATTTGATTTTTGTGTTATAATAAGCTAAGATAAAATTTGCTAAAAGTACCAATACGATAGTAACTCTCCAGATAACTTTAAAAATATTATAAAAATCCGCTTGATTTGTTTAAATTGATTTTCGTTTGTGACTTTTATTTAGATGAGTGAGTGTTAAATAAAATTAAATAAAATTTAATTTCAATACAACTTACAGTTCAATAAAATATATAAAACACAGTTGATATATTTTAAAGTATATTTTTTGTTGAATATCAATTGTTTAATGAATTATATACATTTTAAAATTAAATAAATTTAATAAATAATAAACATGCATTTTTGTTTGCATATTTTGTATGTTTTAGTGCATATAATTCTAGGCCCTAGTAATTATATAAAAACCAACTTATTTAATGAATAAACCTACAAACTTCAAATAAATGATTATTTGCTATCAGATGAATTGTAATTGGAAAAATTACTAACCAATTCAGTTTTTTGCCCATTAGTGAACTTGGTTATTAATTTTATTTATTTTTATATTTACATAATATAGACCTATAAATATGGAATTTGTAAGTGATCAAGCTGAAATATTTAAACATTGTAATCATCCTATAGTCAATTTTGAAGATCAAAACTTAAATGTTTCTATTCCTGTTTTCTCAATTCATGGAAATCATGATGATCCATGTGGTAAAGTATTTTATTTTCATATTTTCAATTATTTCAAAATGTATGATAACCGAGATGATAACTAACAATTTTTTTTTAGGTTATAGAGAAATATCTTGTATGGACCTTTTAAGTTCAGTAGGTTTAATTAATTATTTTGGAAAACAAACTAATCTTCAAGAACTTAAAATAGCTCCTATACTTTTACAAAAAGGATCAAATAAAATTGCTCTTTATGGTTTGAGTCATATCCGTGATGAAAGATTGGAGAGGCTTTTTAGAGATAGAAAAGTACGGATGTATTGTCCACAAGAAAATGCAGATAAGTGGTTCAACATATTTGTATGTCATCAAAATCGCGAAAAGCGACCAGGTACCAAACATTTATCTGAAAATGTTATTCCGGACTTCATTAAATTGACTATCTGGGGACATGAACACAAGTGTTTGATTGATCCAGTTCAAAGTCGATCTGGTTATATTAGCCAACCAGGTAAAACTAATAAACTAAAAGTTGTTTATATTTTATGAATCTTTTAAGTATTAGTATTATAAATTAATTTTAATTATTTCATTATCAGGCAGTACAGTAGCAACATCTATGTGTGAAGGAGAATCTGGTAGTAAATATGTTGGGCTACTAACTATCAAAGATCTTACATTTAATATGGAACCATTAGAACTGAAAACTGTTAGACAGATGCATTTTGAAACAATAAAACTGTCAGAGTGTGATGAAGATGTTAGTACTTCAAAAAAAACTCAGGAATTTATAAGACAAAAAATTGAAAATATCTTACTGGATTTAAGTCTCAAACGTAGTGGTATATCCTTTATAATTTTTCATTATTATTAAATATTTCAATGCTAAATATGTTTTATAGATTTTCTAATTATAAGATTTAAATTAATTGAAAAGAAAACTTTATGTATTATAACTTTATACTTAATAATTTATTTTTGATTTAATTTTTCTTAAAATTATAATAAAATATATTACTCTAATCTAATATTTTACATATTAAGTGTATTGTCATTTATGACCTAATATTTCAAATAATAAAACAGATTAATTTTAAAAATATTTATCAATTATATTTAGGTCATCCCAAACAACCAATATTGCCGTTAATAAGATTGAGAATTGAATATACTAGTGAAACTCAACATTTTAATGGTATTCAGTTTGGTCAAGAATATCAAGACCGTGTTGCTAATTCAAATAATATGATATTATTAAGAATGGAGAAGAAAAATATTGAAAAAAAACCTAGGTGTATTGATGATGATGTTCTTGAAAATATTGTGAATGATGAAGAAGTATTAATCATATACATTTTTGTTATTGTATACCAATTAAATTAATTACTATTAAAATTTAGACGGAAAAAATTGAACATATTGTAGATCAATATTTTAGAACTACTTCTGACGTGGACAAACAATTAGAACTATTATCTGTTAATGGTATGGCTGAAGCAATTGATTGGGTTGTAAATAAATCATTTCCAGAGGCCATAGATACTGTTGTAAAGTAAGTATTTATCCACTAAATTGAATTATATAAGAGTAGAAAAATATTTGAAAACATCTACTTTAAATTTTAACTTTACATTTATATACCAATTTGATTATAATTAAATATATTGTTTAATTTAGGTAAAATTTGAATTCTATTGGATTATTCAATTAAAACTTAAAATGTTAAGCACATAAAACATAAAAATGGAGTACTAATATGGGTTACATTTAAATTGGATATGTTTAAATTTTAAAGAATTAATACATTTATGAAGTTGAAATTTGTAAAAAAAATTTACTATTATATAATTTTAAATTTTTATAAAAGTGAAAATTATTTTATCAATACTAAAAATACTCATAATTATACCATTCATATAAATTTTCAAATTAATGATACCCCTCTCTATCATTGTAAAATTAATATATGCCTTGCTCTACTCAGAATCTCAACTATAGAAAACTTATAAAAATATTTTTTAATATTTATTTGAATTTCTAGATCACTACTTTACCAATTAAATAGATAAAATTTTCAAAATGATGTATGAAAATTTGAATTTAAACTTGAATCTGTATAATATTTTAATTATAACTCAGTCCTAGAGTTATGCTGTTTTTTATTTTTTGGATTTTAGTTTAATTATTGAAAATATCAAAAAGGTCATGATTGTTTTTTTTTTTATATTTGATGTATATCGTACTGGATTTTGAATTAATTTATAATTTTCAATCATTAACTAAGGTGACCAGTACTTTTTATATAATTCTATTTTTCGAATAAAAGAATTCAAAAATCTTATACAAGTTGTCATTATTCTATTACCAGCTGCATAGGGTGGAATTTAAGCGATATAAATAAAATATATATTTTTTTTATATTCTAATATGCTATTATAATAATTTCAGACATCAAATGAAAAAAGTATATGATTATGTGACTAAACATGATGATGTCTGTGAAGAAAATATATCGGAGTATATTACTAGTTATCATAATGTTCAAATTAAAAAATCTACAGATGAAGCTTGTGATGTATTATACTAATATTCTCAAAAGAAATAGTGTATTTAACAGTATTTTATGCTATTTTTATGTTTATTATAGATCCGTAAAGTATTGAGTTCCCAAATAAAAACTGTTACCACTACTCAATCAAATGAAACTCAACATAATTCTGATAATGAATCCAAAAAGTCTGAATCAGATGATGAACAAAAAATTCTTCTATCATCTACAAAAACATCTAGTACTAGAAGTAGGGGAGGAAGAGGTCGTGCTGGTAGAGTTCCTAAAAATTATACTAGCGCTAAGGGCAGAGGAAGGGGAACTAAACTTAGTTTTTAAGAATAAATTCTTCAATTTAAATTTTAACTATCTTATTTTGGGTAAATAATTATGTTATACCTGTAAACCGTTTTTACAGTTTTTTATTTTGAATAATCCTGCCGGCAAGTATGTAATAGAATGTAACAATTACATAATTATTAAATTAAAAGTCTTAGTATATTTTGATGTAATTATTGTAATTTGATAAAAATACATATTGGTTTTTTTTATATTTCTAAACACAAGGTAAATAGTAAAAATCTTATATTTCCAATAACTTATTTCTGTTTGTTTATTTAAGTATTATTCAAGTGATAAAACATTTTTTTTATGTATTAAATTAAATCATAAATACATCTATAAAAATTTATGTACCCTTAATATATATAAACATTTAAAATAAACAATACTACAAAATGTATATGTAATAATAATATATTTTGTTCTTATAAAAAAAATCATATTTTAATAGTTTTTGGGAGTATATTTTGTCAGATTTTAGTGCATATATACATATATATTTAATAGTTTTTTAGTGCATTAAATTCACAGCCTTGGTGATAAGCTATTACTAATACCTTCAGAGACAGATATAGTTGAACTTTCTGTTATGAAATACATTGCTGAGACTCATCTAATTAAAAAATGTTCTACCCACACAATTAAAAAATGGTAGGTAACTAATCTTCAAATTTGTCACAGTATGCATTTTAGAGTTTAAACACTTATACTTCTATATTGTACGTATTCGTGTGCAGTGTTGCGGAATAGCTTAAATTATCTAGATAAAAATTATAGCCATCTAGATCAGTGGTGGCCAAACTTTGTTTTCCTCGGCTATAAAAAACAACTTTTTTTTTATCGTGGGCCATAAAAAAATGGATTCTAAATTTTTTTTACGTAAATGCAAAATATTACAGCTATACAAATAAGTTCTATAACATAGAAGACTTTCGCGGGCCAGATATTAAATGATGGCGGGCCGTAGTTTGGCCACCACTGATCTAGATAATTCACAAAGTGTGTAACTAATAATTAATATTTACTCGTATTTTTCAATATTATCATTCAATATAAAATAATTAAATAAATAACTTAATAAGAAATCTCATTTATATTACTATACTTGCAAATTGATGGTTTTAAAATCATTTTAAATAGTATTTATTATTTATGAATAATTACGATTTATTTGTATACATTATTAATTATTATGAATGGAAGATGGGAATTATTTATGATTTTATTACATGGCCGTATACACTTGCTGTGTTGGCCTTTGGGCGTAACGAAGTTTAGAACATTTTCGTCCGGTGTAAGTCAACCTTGAAGGTATTGAGTTGCAATTGTTTTGTATAAATTTTAGATTACTAATTATTAGACGCAGACATCCAACTGTACCCTATAATATAAATATTTATTATTAGTATGATACATGGTTATTAAAATCAAATTTATTATTCAATAATTAGTACTTGAGTATTGTCGAATTTATAATTGATAATGACATAATTATTATTTAGAGTTGAACTATTTTATTAAATAGAAAAATTGTATCTTGTATTGATTGGAAAAAGATCAGTGTAAATAAATCATGATATTGCTGTCGGATTCTAAGTAGGCATTATAATTTAATATGAAACGCATCAATTTTATCAAATTGTGCACTTTGGTTCAGACGGTTAAAATTATGTTTATCATGATTAACATTTTGCTTTCACATCTTATAAAATAGTATTCTATCTTTGGATGTAATTTTACGTATTGTTTATTTATAAAAATTACCTATTTTCTATGCTTATTCTTTTTGGTTGGAGTATTATTCCACCTTCGATTATTTAACGAAGCATTAAACTGTTTTAGACCACCAATTTTTGGTCTGTTGCTGTTCGTTGTTGGTCGATTTGCAAGTTTAGCTTCATTGAATACATTTCTACAATAATTTTCGTATATTTCTTTATCTTTAGTTTGATCCGTATCACCGCATAACCATAACTCTGAACTGTAAATAATGGAACGTAATATTGACACCTATATGAACTTAAAGTTGTCGGCAGGTTTTTTAGGTCCACTCTGGAAAGCAAAACTCATATAACTTCTGATACTTTTTTTAATGTTGATAAAGCCTTTTTACAGTGAAATATAATATGCCGTTTGACTAGTAAACAGGCAATTAATTCTTTCTTTCTTTATCAAATAAGTGGTTACATCTCCGGGACACAATAAGTTATATCCGATAACTCTCAATAATCTATGGACAGAAAAAACAAATATGATTCTTTACAGACATTTCTGTAAATAACCTTCCAAATTTTTAAATGCTTTTACAATTTTGAATCATTTAGCATCTTATTAATACATCAAACGAACTATAAATTATACAATTATACATTTTACAAATGGTATTATTAGTGTTATTAAAATAGGCCTTCATACGTTTCAGTACAACAGTGTAAGTAAAATTTTAATGTAATTACTTTTCTTTGAACGATGGACATTGAGCATTCATTATATCCACCAGATCATTCGTCCAATTATTATTTTTTGACTGTTCCAAGTCGACGAACACCAATATATCGCTCTTCGCTTCTATTTTTAATAAATCTTTCGGTATAATAAATTATTTCATCTTTGGCGGCGGTATGTGATTGAATATTTTAAAAAAGTTAAAGAATAAAATAATAGTTTTCGAAATATTTTGTAATTTCCAACACTCATAGGCGCAATTAGGGGGGGCTGGAGGGGCTAAGCCCCCTCAAAAACATCAAAGCCCCCCCAAAAACCATACAGAACTTTATATTATTATATTGATAGATAAAAAAAAATATGTGATTACTACTGAAAAAACGAATAAAATAAATTTTTGTTATTCTTTTTTTAGTTACAATATTATAATCATGGTCTTAAATAATATGTCTATTACTAACTGTCCCGACACGGCGTTGCCCACGTATTAGTTGGTTTTTTGGCATTTTCGTAGGCCATGTATTAGTGTTATTATGTATGAGAAAATTTAAAAGTAATAGGTAAAGTATCTAAATGTTGAAATTAAGCACAAACCAACATATATATTTTCTGAATTTACATTTTATTCATCTTATATTAAATTATTGTTTATAATTAGTGACCTACTTACAAAATATACTATATACATTAAAAACATACAAAAATAAATTAAATTATTAAAACTAAAAATTATCTAAGTACTACTTTGTGTACAACATTCCTGGTTAACCTGTCTTTGGCTAACACGAAGAGATTTGATGGTTTTCCTACACGTGAGCAGGCAACAAATAGCTGTCCATGTGAGAAACATGTGTTTTCCAAATCCAAACCGCGAATAGACATTGTTTGGCCTTGAGATTTATTTATGGTCATCGCAAAAGCTAAACAAATCGAAAATTGGAGTTCCTAATTATTTAACTATCAAAGAAAATATATCTAAAGATACGTTTTCAAATCTTTTTAAAATAATTTAATTGGCTTCCGGTCAGTTCGGCTACTTGCGAACGGTCTTTTTCTGCAATAAGAAGAATTAATTATTATCTCAGGTCAACTATGTCACAGGAACGGTTTTTGAAACTTGCAATACTTAATAATGAGAGAGATATTATTGTTGACACCGAAATTATTTTAAATACATTTGCTAAAAAAAATAGAAAAATAAGAATATAAAAACTATATTAAATCTGTTATCTATACTTAAAAGCGAATTATTGTTTTATTATTTATTTTTAAATTTTACTTGCCTTCCAATAAGTACATTTTTTATAGATGGTAAAGGGTGGAAAAAAAGCTTCTGAGAGGTAGTGATTGAAAAATTTTTGTGAGGGGCTGAAGCCCTCCAATTTTTTTACTCTAATTGTGCCTATGCCAACATTCACTTCAGATGGGTTGCAAATGGTTATACTTATCCGGGATTCAGCGAAGATACTTGCAATAAGCTTTTTAACCTGCGTCCAATCTAGACCGTCCAACCTGCACCCGATTTTTAGGATCCCCAATTTGGTTAAATTCATCGCTTTCATTTTCATCAATGGAGACTTTAGGGCTACTAATAACGTTTGCATTGTTGATTTACCGCCACTAAATTTCTTCGTTATCATGTAAAATGCGGTCTCATTACGGTCGTTGACAATCACACCAACATCGCCTACGGTTAGATTTTGATCAAATAACTGTCCAACACCACCGAAATATTGTTTAGAAAGCAATCAAAATCAGTATTAATTTGATCAAGAGCATATGCATGAATTTCATGGCGATTCCAGCTAGAGGCGTATTTAGACTTACTTCTAGAGGGAGTGACTCAAATTTTTTCTTTAATTCAGGCTCTAAATTTACAAGTAAAATTTTTGGTAATATTTATATCAGGTGAATCTTTAATATTTGTGGGTTTTTTTTTTTTTTTTTAATCTAATACCGAATCCACTTAGAATGGTCTTTTGTTTAGTTCTATTTTAACACCTATCTGTGTTTTGAAAGTTTCGCTTATGTTTTATCTAATTTTTCACTTTTTGGACTGGGTTTTCAATCAAAATAATATATATTATTTACCGTTATTGACAGTGGTTGAATTGGGGGGGGGTGACGCAGAGGGTCTGAGCTACTCTTCATTTTTCTTCATATTATAGCGTACCCCTTAATTTAATTCATCAAGGAACGCAGGGGACGCAGCGTCCTTCAACAATTATATGAATATGAATTTGTTTCTAAGAAAAATTAAATAAATATGAAAAAAAATTGGAAACGATTAATATTTTATTTAATTTTTGGTATTAGTTCGTAATCTGTTCATTATTATTAGCACATATGTATATTAGGAACGCAATAATAAAATATATAATAATGTTATATAATTTATGTAACACGTTTCAAGTGTTTTCACTGCGTATTAATTCGTGGTATAAACTGCTAAATTGCTAAAAATATAACTATTACGAAAACTTCCCTGGGTGTACCGACGATAACGATCTATAGTAAACCATTGACAATAATAATATATTGACTCCGTATTTTGAGAATCCGTCCGTTGTTTTAGTTATCGACGATTAACAAATGGTGATCGTTTTCAAGGAAAATTAAATATTATTTATATTTTATTTGGAAGCGAGGTGCGCCACGAATGAGTAATCAGTATTATGTTAGCGTATGTAATTTATAAATTGTAATTTTGTTGAAAATAGTAAACACCTCAACCGCACTCCTACAGTCCTACATGTCACGTCAGCAATAAACAAATAAACATGAATAAACGTCAAAAATTGTCCATATCGGACTTTTTCAATAAAAAGAAAAACAATAACCAAGGTAATTAAAACACTTTAATTTAATAATAAATCATAGGCATGCGCAGATTCCTGTTACCGGTGTACTTTTATTTTTTTTTTGATAATCCACCCTCATAAATCCCACCTTAAAAAAAAAAAAAATAGATATACAAAACATAAGTAAGTAGAAATAAAATTTATTAGAAAAACTGATGTACAATCTGATTATCAATGAACGTCAGTCCCGGCAATTTTTATTTTTTTGTAATTTGATAAAATTTATAAAAAAAACTTGATTTTCCAAAAAAAGTTATTAGCCCTTTTTACTTAAGTACCTAGTACCTACCTAAAAAAAAAAGTTAATAAATACAGTTAAAAGTGCCTTAAATTTTTTTTGGTCATACATTTTAAAGCAATACATATACATAACTATGATAAAAATAATTATTATTTAACTTTCAGCAAATCTTATTCCTAAAAATAATGTGACGGGATGAAATAAATTATTTTACTAATATTAAACTTCAAATATTAAAATTAATAATGACAAAAAAAAATTAATATACTAATAAAAGAGTAACATTTATAATCTATAAATTTAATATTTACTTTTTGTAGGCAACAGTAAAATACATGAATTATTTTAAATTGAAAGTTAATTGATTAATTAATTTTATCATGTGGCTATATATTTACATTTTAGATTTTAAATTTGCTAGACGTGTTGCTGTGTTGATAGAATTAATACAAATAAATACCTATTAGTATTGTTTATTATTTGTTATAGATATCTGTGTTAATCATTAGATATATTTAATTATTTATATTGTAGATGCATTTAGGTGGTGGGGGGGACAAAGTCCCTCACGGTTTTTTTTAGATTAATTTGCTTTGGAACGCTAATTGTTCAGCTACATTTAGAGTCCACTTTTATTTTTTTTTCCAATTCAACCACTGGTTATTGACAATTAAAACGTTATGAAATATTTAGCGTTTTGCGTTAATTAAATTAGTGTAAAATTTGAAACGTTTTCAAATGTAGTAATACTATAAAATAAATCATAATTTTTGTTTCTTAATAAAATACCCATTACTTATATAAAAATTGTCTTGGTCTAAAAATTCTAGGGGAGGGGGATTGCCCCCACCGCCATTCCTCGAAAATCCGATATATCAATAATATCAATGTTTAATATGTCGATACATTTATGCAATCGTTTCCGATTTTTCGTACTGTTTTCATGCCAGTTTGTTGTGAACCGGGTAACTTGTCAACACATATGTGGAGGTGGTCGTTTAAAGGTTGATTAAATAAGAGTCTAGATGTATAAGTAAAGTTATTTAATTTACACAATTACAGTACATACATATATTTTAACATAGAGAGTAAATGAAGACTAAGGACTTGCCGGCGACTTGCACAGTGTGTGTGTCAGAATACAAGTGAAGAAGTCCTTACGTCTTCTGACTTATATACCAAACAGTAATAGGATGTACAGAAAGTTGTCCTCGTTCTGGTGGTAGTACGTGTGACCATGGTCTTAATTGCCCTACGTGGCATCATGCGTCAACTTATTATCACACATTAGTAATATTGCACACACCTTTGCAGGATGTGTGCCCTCAATTTCTAATTACAGATGACTCAGTGAAATCAGACAATGCCCATCCGTGCCGTGCATATCAAATCCATGTACTTACAACACCTCCCCAACAAAATGAGGATTTAACGACAGGAAAAACCTCCATACCTGCTACCACTGTTTGCTATATTTACAAAATATACTGATATACAATTATATAATATGTAGTACTTAATTATTACAAAAATGTTCCTTATTTTCTGGGGCGCAAGTTTTAATTCTACTACACACGTCATGACACGATCTAATAGCTAGAATATACGGTTACATATTAATAATTTCTACGTCTGGTGAGTTTCGAGGTACCATACTGTGCTTAAAAATATGTAATGTCCGTTTATTTTTCTGTTTTTTTATTATCTTTACACCTGTGTATGTTATCGCTATTACCACTATAATTATGAACTAATATGTATGCAAATCACTCTTGTTTTCTAATTTATTTCGATTTGTCTCCTCTTCTATCATTAAATCTAATTCACTTATGGATTTTGAATAATCCCCCATATCATTTAATTTTATTATGGGTTTACTATGCGTTATTACCTTTTTTAATTTTTTCTTTATAAAATTGGGGATTGTTAAATTTGTTACTAATTCCGTCTCTGGAATAAAGTCCACATAATTAGATGAATTTAAATGCCTATTAGGTATTAGTACCATCTGGGATGTATGTGCCCTGCATGTTTCGGCTAAAGTTATTGCTCCTATCCCTGTTAATCCCTGTGTATTTATGGTTTAGTCTCTGTCATCACATGATATTACCAAATTATCCATAGATTTTATAATAAATATCCAAGTATTATTATACGAGGTTTATTCAATAAATACCCAGACTAAAATTATTAAAAATTATATTTCAAACTTACAAATTATTTAAATGGATCACCTTCAAAATAGTGTCCTTTAGCTTCAATACAGTGCTCCCAACGGTCTTGCCACTTTTTGAAACACCTTTGAATTTCTTCTATAGTTATAGCCTTTAGTTCTTGTGTCGCGTTACGAATAGTTTCGTTAACGTCTTCAAATCTGTGGCCTTTGAGGGTACTTTTTAGTCTCGGAAACAAAAAAAAACCACAGGGAGTTAAGTCAGGTGAATATGGTGGGTGAGGTACCACTGAAATATTTTTAGATGTCAAAAATTCACGTACGGAAAGTGCAGAATGCGCCGGTGCATTGTCATGGTGCAAAAACCACGACTCTAGCACTAATTTTGCGGACACTCTTTTAATACCCAATTCATCTGATAAAATCGAATGACAAGTATCAATTGATATGCCAATTCCATTGGCTAATTCTCTGACAGTTAATCTTCAGTCGTATCTAATTTTGTCTCGAACTAAAGTAATGGTATCAATTGTTTTTGATGTTGATGGACGCCCAGGACGATGGTCATCTTCAATGGATATACAACCTTCTTTAAATCGTTTGAACCACTCAAAAGTAACACAACGGCTTAGTGCAACATCTCCAAAAGCCAATTTTATCAATTCAAAAGTTTCCGTCGCATTTTTTCCAATTTTGAAACAAAATTTAATACACGCGCGTTGCTCCGAAATATTATCCATCGTGAAATCGCGATTTTATACGAAATGACCAACTTTGAACGCGCACTGTCGATGACTGATTTGAGATAATGATTATTATTATATATTGAAATAATGGTCATTATCTCTAGTTTATTTTGGTGTAACAATATTATCGATAACATTAAATATTTTTCTGCAATAATTTTAGTCTGGGTATTTATTGAACACACCTCGTATTTAAGCTTGTAATACACACTTCGCGTTATGTCTAAATACCTAATTGAGCATACTAGTTGGTTTTATGAATAACTCTATCTCACAAAGAACCTCAGTTGTTCCTAACCTTAGGGTTTTCTGAATATTCCCTACTATATTAATTAAACCTCTTTTTATCCTTGGATTTACTTCGGAATCGTCAATTGACTGCAACATAAAAAATCGTTTTCTAAAAATTTCTTTTTCCAGCGAGTTAGAAACTAAACGGAAGTTATTGCAATCGTTTTCGAATTTCGTGCTATAGGCTTTTGTTAGTTTATTACAAAGCCCTTATGTTTTATTATAAAATTCCATAGTATTTATAGTTTTTAAATTAAAGTTATTTAATTTAATATATATTAAAAATTTCCAATCCGAATTTGTCAGCCGCAATGATCCTTGATTTTCGAAATACATCCCACTTTCATGGGACATCATCGAGATCGCGTGTAGCTACTTTTACCTCTAGATTCTTTACTTAAAGGTATTTGATGAAAACCTGATGCTAAATCCAGAACCGTATAATATTTAGATTTTCCTAATTTTTCTAATACATCTCGTATCTGTGGTAGTGCATATCAAACCCATGTACTTACAAGTTTGTTTTGTGAATTCAGTATCTAAATTTTTTTTTTTTTAATAATAGAATCTAAAATAATAAAATAATGTAATAAATAATAATAATAAAATAATAATTTTTATTTACAAACTTTTTTTTTTCATATTTTAGTATTTTTAGTGCATATTTAAGCGCTTATATGAATACTTTTTATAGCATATTTAAGCGATTATAACCTTTTTTAGAGATATAAGTAATGAGTCTTGCTAATAAATATTTACCATTCCTATAAAGAACTAAAAAAAAATACTATTTTAGTAGATATTGTACACTTGCCAGTTGCTCCCCCCCCCCAATCACCCAACAAATAGTGAGCCGGTAAAATGGTATTTTCCCGGGCTGGTCATACATTCTTACTTTATGGGCTGGTCCGAAATTTCAATCCGTTCCTGCGAATAATCACTGACACATAAAAATAAAAACATGATTTATTTATTAAAATTTAATATTTATAAATGTTATTTTACATAATGTCTGTGTGAATAACCCATATATTTAAATTGAAAAACGAGACGGTGGCCATTGAATGTGAATTAAATTTTTCATGTTTCAAATCGGGCACTACTGTCACGTTCCTAACTCGGCACATCATAGTAATGGTCCCACCTAGCAAGCCATGTGTACCATATTCCAGACACACGCATGCAAAATATTATTCTTACACACTGACACCACTGTACTCCTATACCCATATTAACACACACACACGCGTCATACGACCAATGCACATATGTGTTAACGTACTACTGCGTTTTCCGTAAGCCGTTGCTTGCTATCATTCGTCCAGAGCTCGAAGAAAATGGCGAACTGTTTGTTTATGATGACCATCTTTGGATTCAATAATTAAATTCCACGTTATTTTCGTTCGGTTTATTTTTTCCGTCTGATTGAACGGTTTTGAAATGTTCTAAAAATACCATTGTCTGGTTTGACTGAATTGTCTTGGCCCGCGAATATCGTGTGAAGTGTACTACGGGATTATCGGTTACAGGTAATGAATGAATTATTATATATGGATTGCAATAATTTTGTCTATCGTATGAGAAATCCGTTTAAAACTATACTCAATACCTAATGACTTATAACTAATAATTCAATGTTTCACGTTTCTAGTTTTTCTTTTGTTGGCCGATAAAAGTTGTATTTTCGACCGTTTATTTTTTTTTTTATAGGTTAGGTTGTCGATTAATTTGTTGACTTTACACCGGCAATGGTTTTATAACCATGTATTTTTAATATTCCGGATAAGTCTATTGTTTATATTTTATTTTCCCAATTCAAATACTTGTCCAATTTTTATTCTTTATAGTTAATTTATCTCGTCTTAGGTTATCCATGCAAAGAAACTGATTATTTTTTTGTTTTCAATTGTAATAGCACTTTGTATCTCTAATTTCTAAGAAAATATAGTTAATACTATGTATAATGGGCAAAATAAAAAATGACCACTCACCTTGAATATTATCTATTAAATTCTGTACTATCTATTTACGAAAATATACCTTCCTATTCACCTCTTATTAAAGATGTAGTGGTCACTACATCACTATTATAAAATTATTGGCATATTACTTCTTAGATAATATTTTCTATAATATAATTTTTGCAAAATTGTATAACAACAAAATGTTTGAACTAATATTATGTACCTAAATATGTTTTGTGTATACCTAATATGTTTATTTTAATTTAGGTTATTAAACTTTAATACATCATGTATTTGTATAATATGACATTGCAACGTGGTAGTGGCATAACGCACGCTATACATGGAAATTTCAGTGGTGGAAAAGTACAAGAGATATTAGTATCACGTGGTAAATCTCTAGAACTGATGAGGCCAGATACAAATACTGGTAAAGTTCACACATTATTGACTGTTGAAGTTTTTGGAATAGTTCGAGCATTAATGAGTTTTAGACAATCCGGAGGCACTAAAGGTATAGTATTATGTAAAATATATTTTTTTCTATTTATTCTCTGTTATAATAATTCAATATATTTTTAATTCCTTCACTTATAGTATTTAATTTATTACCATAGAATAATAATTTAATTATATTATTTAATCTTTAATATTGTTTAGATTATATTGTGGTTGGTTCTGATTCTGGGAGAATTGTGATTTTGGAATATTTACCCTCTAAAAATATCTTGGATAAAGTGCACCAAGAGACTTTTGGCAAGAGTGGATGTAGGCGAATTGTTCCTGGACAATATTTAGCTATTGATCCAAAAGGAAGGGCAATAATGATAGGTAATGTTATTTTAAATTTAAATTATAGCATATTTAAAGTAAAGCATAAATTATTTTAAATTATTTATAGGTGCTGTTGAAAAACAAAAATTAGTTTACATTCCTAATAGAGATGCTGAAGCACGACTAACAATTTCATCTCCTTTAGAAGCTAATAAAAGCAATACATTAGTATATCATATGGTTGGAATTGATGTTGCATTTGATAACCCAATATTTGCTTGTCTTGAAATTGACTATGAGGTATTTAATTCAATTTGTTAATATTTTAATTTATATTATTTTATTTAATTATAATATTTGTAGGAAGTTGACGCAGATCCGACTGGAGAAGCCGTTCAAACTACACGGCAGACACTTACATTTTATGAAGTAGATTTTGGATTAAATCATGTAGTACGTAAATATAGTGAACCTTTAGAAGAACATGCAAATTCTCTCATTACTGTTCCTGGTGATAAAGATGGACCTGGAGGAGTACTAATATGTTCAGAAAATTATATAACTTACAAAAATCAAGGGGAACAACCTGATATAAGGTGTCCAATACCTCGTAGACGAGTAAGTATATTTTATAATTAAATATCAGTATAACATCTTAAGCACTATAGGTATCTCTTGTGTGCGAGTATTTTTCCCACACCGGTCGTGAATGAGTGCTATAATAATAGTTGGTAATTATTTGATTGGATTATATTGTATTTAAATGTAATTCTTTATTAGTGCTTTCTTACATTTATACTTATTTATGAAATTGCATTTAAAAAAAATGTATGATAGAGATAATAATTTAAAAGTTAGTATTAAAATTTGATTGATGTATATTTTTTTAATTTTAAGGCACTCTAGGTATCTCTTGTGTGCGAGTATTTTTCCCACATTGGTCGTAAATGAGTGCTATAATAATAGATGATACTTATTAATTTGAATTGTATTTTATATAATTTGTTATTTGTATTATCTAATAAAATGTTTACTAGGTATCTTAATCTAAAAATTGTATAAGATATTAGTCTGCATTAATTTTGTTTCTAATTTACTAATATGTTATAATATACATCAAATTGTTGTTAAAGATTTTTAAATTATTTTAAATTTTTAGAATGATTTAGATGATCCAGAACGAGGAATGATTTTGGTTTGCAGTGCCACGCACAAGACAAAGTCAATGTTTTTTTTCTTAGTTCAAACTGAACAAGGAGATGTTTTCAAAGTTACATTAGAAACCAATGAAGAGTTTGTTACAGAAATTAGACTGAAATATTTTGATACTGTTCCAGTAGCTTCTGCTATGTGTGTTTTAAAAACTGGGTTTTTGTTTGTAGCATCAGAGTTTGGGAATCAGTAAGTTAGAAAAGTTGTAATAGTTTTAGTAAAAAAGTAATAATTATTTTAATTTTGCAGTTATTTATACCAAATAGCAAATCTGGGTGATGATGATGATGAACCAGAATTTAGCTCAGCAATGCCTCTTGAAGAAGGAGATACGTTTTTCTTTGCTCCTCGACAATTACGAAATTTAGTTTTAGTAGATGAAATGGATTCATTATCACCTATTATGGCTTGTCAAGTTGCTGATTTAGGTATTGTAATTTTCTTAAGTTTTATTGCTTCTAATTGTGAAGAT